GGTTGAGTATGAACGTCAACAACCGTCCTATTCAGGACTACGTTCACCGTACAATCATACTAAACCTACCTATGAAATGACTCAAATACTAAGTTAGTTGAATAACTTTTCTTTACGATAATAAAACGAAGCCGATGCGAGCTTTCGACTCCTTCTCGGAACTTGATCATGCTGGAAGTGATCATACCGTGCGATCACGCGAGCGTGCATTAAAACCATGCGACCTGGTTGTAACGGCCCCGTCGTCGTTTAAGACGCACTGAGACGTCCCTTTTAAGTTTGTAGAAACTTAAACGGTTTTCAACTAACTTAGTAGGTTCATTGCTTCTTGGGGTGTCACATACTCCTGACATTATCTAAAGTATATATCTTACGATTCCTCTCTTGATCTGAATTCTTTGACAGGTTTTAAACCAAGGATCCGCACCTCTTGCCTTCTTACAAGAGCACATTGAAAAGTATGTCGCCTGTGTTCATGAACCCAACAAAGAGGGATGTTCCTATATCCTTAATCCTCCAAAAAGAGCCCCACCCAAGAGCGGCGAAAAGAAACCCGAGACGCCGTTGTATCTTGAAGGCTACATACATTACGCTTAGGATCTGACACATAGAGACTCACAACTGAGGCTCATTATGAGTTCCTTTAGCCTTAAAAGCAAAGCATATTAAAACAATAAACAGGCATAAAAGAGGATCATAGCCAATAAGCGTTGAAAAGAAGATTATTAGTTAACCCTTTTTAGGCGGATGGGGTCAGTTTCGTTCCTTACGAAACGATGTAGATTATGGATTTCTGAATCATTAAGCTTTCAGCTTAACCGATTAAGTTAACAATCAACGAATTCGGTATGTGGTATCTGTGGATTGTAAGTATAGCTTAACCTGAGAAACACTGAACAAAATCTTACCAAACTATACAATAACAACTGTTGTTGTGTTCTACCGACTTTGGTACCTTGTATTTTCGTATCTGGTATACATGTGGCCTACTAACAGTCTTTGAGGAGAGAAGGGCGCAAACGCGCCGTATAGGAACCTCGCTCAAACGCCAACGAAGAATCCGGCACAAAATCCAACACAGGAGCCTACGAAAACGTTGCACGAAAGCCAATACTAGGACTTCTCGCCGACTACATACCAAGAGTGATGACATCACATAGTCTTCAGGATCAGTATATATTTTATACACCACGCGACAAAAACTTTCTGCACCTTCGGTTTCCTTGCGAGTTTGTTTACACGTCTATTTACAAAAGTCTCATTGCTGTAACAATGCTATTTATTTCTATGTTAATAATTAAAGCAAAAGGATGCTAATTAAATTTTAGTCTTTTCGCTAATAAACAACAGACTTCGTTTTCAATGAATGTTAAATACAGTCTATGTTGTTCGACTCTAACTGGTGAGATGGTTCTGAACCCCTGGAACTGTTTATCACACGTGATTGGGTGTGGCACAGAAAACCATGACCAAATTGGTATTAGTCTCTCAAATTAAAGTCATAATTTCGTGACTGTTGATGAACTTAACAGTTCTGTACTTCGTTACCTGACTCGTTCTTACATTGTAAATTGAACTAATTAAAAATGTTCTAGTGGATGGTATTTAAAACTAAGCTAAACTATGAATGAGAACATTTTTGAATGAAAAACGCTCGAGGTTATGAGCATATCTGTATTTTTATATACAATGTAATGAGGCCCTGACTGACAACTAAACGTTATTCAGTCCTCAGAAAGTTTATCCGTCTCCAACAATAATTCGTTGGATGCTTCCTCAGTTTGACTAGGATTTTCAGGCGCTCCATCTCTGTTCACTGGCATGTAGACAAACACCGCGTCATCATCCACGTGACTCATCGGCTCCCACTCCTCCAAGTCGACCTGATAAACCTCGCTCTCCTCAATTTTCACCCCACTGTTGTAGGCAAAGTTTCCAAGTATGAAGAAAATATGATTTTCGATTTCTATAGCCCCGTAATTACTAGGGGGTATACGGGGTTGTGGAACGTCATGCCATTGGTCATTCTCTTCATCATAAACTTCCACATACCTGGATGGAATAAGCCCTCTTTGACGTTTGCTTGGCGGTTCTGTTTTGCCACCTGCCAGATACAACCTTTCATTGACTTCAAATGCGCATGCGTGGGTGTGGCTGTGTTTGGTCCTTTCCAACTTTGTCCAGACATTTTTGGCTGGGTCAAATCTACAGACCTCGCGACCAGCACCCCCATCTGCCCAAGAACCTCCGATGGAATAAATGCAACCTTTGTGTACAGCCACAGCACAACCATGTAAGCCTAGCTCTTCATGGAAAGAAATGTACTGCCACATCTTCTTGGAGAAACTAAATCTCTCTGATATAACACTGTGATTGGCCTCAGCACCACCAATTACGTACAGGAAATCTTCACACACGCAGGCCTGGAAATTTTCATGGGCAGTCTTCATGGGTGGAAGCACTGTCCAAGTGCTTGTATCAATCTGATACTGGTGGACGTCTTTCTCATCAAAAAGGAAAAGGTGATTACCAGTGAAAAGTATGGCTGGCTTTCTTTGTAGACTTGGTAATTTAAGGCCATGAAGTGGTTCCCAGGTTTTGGACTCAATGTTGAAAAATTTGGTTCCACCTGTTAATGAAAGCGACACAAGGGCCTGGATAAAAAATCAGACAGAGCATTTGTTACTTAAATGAATGAAATAAATTGCATTGAAAAAATCGCAAAAGTTTCAGCTACCTGAGATAAGGCCATATTTCAGTTTAGCTCTATGCGGTCGTGAAAATATATTTACCAGAGTCTGGTAAAAATATTTTCACGACCGCAACGGGCGAATTGCTAAAATCGACCTTCATCATGGGAAAAAGACATCATTGCTGGCGACCAGAGGACCCCACAATCCTAATCTCCAGGTTACTTTTTCGCATGCGTGGCACGTGTGCAGGTAAATTTCTTTTGGAAAATCTTTTGGACTCCCACTAAAACGATGTTCACACTATACCGGTTAGCACGAAATGCTATCCCATTCGACATAGTGTAAACTGCAACGGCACAGGACTGGAACAAGTCCTGCACACACATCGAATATCATGCCAAAGCCAGCCTCGTTCCCAGTCGTCCTCGGCGATTTCGGATGTGACGTCACCTGTCAAGCATGTCGGGAAAACTCGCACTCGGTTCCAAGCCTCCTCTGGTAACTCGGATAGCGCGAACTGGCCTGGGCACGAGACTTTGCCAAAGCAGTTGGCTGTTGGGTTCTAGTCCTACGGTCTGAATACCTGTTCACACTACACCAAAGTGTGACAGAAACTATCCGATATGTAACGCTCCGCTTTCGCCATCGTGCTCCGTTACAGTAATCATAGCCTGCGCGTTTTTTTTCATTTCGCCCATTTATTTCCTAGCGCCTGCTACGCAGGCTACAGTAATCACCGTTCTTATGAGTGAACAGAAGCCCTTAGAGTACGATTTTCATGCCGGCAAGTGCTATCCACTATAGTGCGCTGTGAACAAACACAATCTGATCACGTGCGTTTTGACCTCTTGCACTTCACCACCGGCCCCTAACCCAATAGTGCACCCCGCCATTCTTCGCGCCTAAATTTGCACCGCAAGAGAGACGGCTAATTACGAGGGAGTGACACGAAACAGATCGCGTGACCTGTCAATAATGAAATGGGAAATTTATACCCGGGAGGACACACTTGCCTTAGACGAGACACGCGGCATTCCTTTTTCTTGAGCGAAAGGAGAACACAGAAATGGACGGACATGCTGCAACAAGCACGTATGCATAAATGAGAAACACTCGGGAATCTTTCTGAACTCTTCGGATTCGAGTTCTTCAAGGACGACCATAATGTCAACGAGAACCAACCGCACTTTGTCGAAAAGTCTGGCAGCGTGCGACAACCTGTTTTCTTCGTCGAACTTGATCCAAGCAATCACGCTCTTGAAGAGAAATGTCTCTGACGGCACACTTAGATCGTTGCGTGAAAGAAGGAGAAGCAACTCGTCTGCGGTTATGTTCTGTATGAACGCTTTATCCTCACAAATCTCTCCAAACTTTAACGCTAATGCACGTAAGATCTCTTCGTGTAGCTCTGCCAGGTGGTGTCGATCGGCCAGTCTTAGGATTTTTAGTCTTGTCTCCAGGTCGAATTTTTCCTCACTGAGATTGTTTATTATGAATAGGGAGCATTTTCTAACCACGCTCAAAATCTCTAAATGATCTGCAGCTTCCAAAATTTCGACAACACTGTTTTCATTTAGCGGAAGGATGGAAGAGTATATGAAATTCAGCAGCAGTTCAAATGCTTCTTCCGTCAAGCCATCTTCTTTCAGTTCCACCTCAGTCTGCGCGTTTTCTTTCATCCCAGCAGAAAACATCGCGTCAAAAAAGCGGCTGGAAGCAGCAAGAACAACTTTGTGAGCGTGGAAAGATTTTCCCTTTACGCAAAGGACGACGTCAGTGTATGATTGGTCCTTCCTCATTTTGTTCAAACATTCAAACATTTCCCGCGAATGAAGCTGCAGTTCCATTTTCTCCTCCTGCTTCTGTGCACCCTGTGCGCGAGAAGCGTTCGTCAAAGATGGGCTAATAGGTTAATAAAATATTTCCTCTCTCTGCTTTTTGTATTTTTACTCTCCAATTCAATTCAATTATACATGCACTTATCCGTGTATCACCTTCAACTGCACGTGAAAACGATCGACATGCCATGTGATTTTTGTGGGGCAACGAAAAGATGATTGGCTGCCGGTTACAAACCACCGTCTAAAACATTCATAAAAGACTGCATGTCTGCGATGTTCGTGAAAACAAGCACGCACTCGGAAAGGATTTTGAACCCCGTGAAAAGTAATTATATTATCTAGCCAGTGCCAATATTTGTTCAATTTAACGTTACTAAAAAGGTTTTTTATCTGCTCTGGCGAGGACGTCTAGTACACAAATTTTAAAACTCAGAGATATATTAAAACAAAATCGAGCGGTCACTGGGATTACGTAACGACCTCTTTGTTACGCAACCTGACATGAAGTTCGAGCGATTCGAAGGAAATAATCGATTTTGTTTTCAACTGTAGCGCTGACTTTTGAAATTTGTATACTATGGGGTTCTTTTAATTTATTTATTATTTTAATTATTTTTTATATTCCGCTAATCCAAAAAAAAATTTGCTACCTTGAAAACAACTTTGCGTGACAGAATAAGAATAGCGTGAGCAAAGAATTAAGCCACCCACGCAGGCGTTTTCAGGGGAGTCTTATTTAGCTAAGAATAATCAGCATAAAACAATCGTTGAACAGCATTTTATTCTGCAGGATAAGCGGGTTATCACTGTTAGCTAATACAAAATCTTACATATGTACCTTTCAGTTGACCATTCAAACAAAATAATAATAGTAACAAGGAAAACAAAGATGAGTGCAATGGTGTGGACAATTGCTCCCTGCAATATTGCATCTCGCACTGCATAATAATTTACCCTCTTCTCGCGAGTCCAAATCAGCGCGAACCCTTAGTTTAAATTTCTCCACACGGGAGTGGATTATTTTACATATGCTTTACGCAAAATTATGACAAAATGTTCTGCAGCGAATTCAGGTTTGACATGCAGGGAAACGACCGGACAAGCTATTGGTGAAATACATTTTCCAACCACATCTAAACTGTTTAAACAAGTTATATGCCGCTCTTTTTTCATGCATCAGCAAACAAAAAAGCTGATTTTAATGCACATCATCTTCGACTCATGGGTTGTATTGACCTGTATTTGTCACAATGATTGTACTTACAGGACAATAATGTATCTCCCAGTAACAGAATCAATAGGCTGCATCATTAAATATTTTAAATTAAATATTGTTCACTGTCCTGTCACTGTGCTCTTTTTTGTCTGATTACAGCCTTCAGTAAAAGCCTCTAACTCTCTATACCATAAGATTATGTGTCATAAGTAGGTGGAATAGATGACTGTATGATCATCCAGGTGGGTGTGGCCCTGAATAGGACTGATGTTGACAGTAACTGATGCGGCGGCTACAAAACGCAGGTCACAGGTCACAAGTGCAGGATAGATTACAGGTCACCATGCTACAGTAAATGAACAACACAAATAAGGTCTCCTAGTCCAAATCACAATCCGAAATAGAGTGTCAGCTTAAGGTGAAACTCATGCTTATCCCAGTTCTTATCAATAGAGCAGTGACCCACAATTGTGATCAGTGACCTGTGACCTGAGTTTTGTACTGGCCAGTAACTGATGTATAGATGACCTGTGAGGTATTCATCTTCATGAACGTGTCAGTTGTTGACCAGATTTTAAGTTCCATTTTTATGTTATTACTGTCAGATAAGCCATAATACGATACTATTGGCTATTAAAACTCTAAATGTGCTTGGTGTGTTCCGTTCCATCTTTTGTCACAGTTATCACGGTCATTATAACCAATCATATTTAGAGTCATCACAGCTTATCTGACAGATCGCCACTGACGTCATGACTTAATTGACCAATGAGGTCAATAACAAGGGTTAAATACTATCAACTGATGTGATACAATACACTTTTTCCTTCTGAAGATGGCTACTGCATAGGTTGTTGACATGTCAGTTGCTTTTGAAAACAGTCCTATTCAGGGTCACACTCACCCGAATGATAAACATGTCTTGTGTTCAAACCATTCACCCAACATTATGGTGTAAAAAGCAATACATGTAATAAATTATTATTAAGATCTAAAAGCAATCAAAGCTTAAAAAACTTTCAAAGAGTTTGAGAATGTCTCAGTGCCAACTTCTCATCAGTGGCATGACTGTAGTTAATAATAAATTATAATAACAGTTTTAAGAATTATGCTTTTCCCTAGTAACACTTTTTTCTTCCCCCTTGATCCTGTGTAGAAAACAAACTCTTCTTCTGTTTCACTATTGATTCTAAAGTCACTTCTGAAATTTACCAAACCACATGTTGATCTCATTTGCATCTGGTATTCTTGTCAATATCTAAGCATCACTCTTGCTGACCTTCCATGCTGCTTCTACTTTAGTGATGGCCGCTTCAAGAGTTTCTTTCTTTAATTTTAAATCCTCTTCCAGACAATTTAGCTGCTCTTTTGCAGACTCAAGTGATTTAAATTGTTCCAAAAATGAAGCAACTTTTCCATAAATTTGCTCATTTGATTGTCCTTTTATCTGTTTCTCCTCACTAGTTCCTCTATCTTCTGTTGCAACATCTCTTCTATCAACAGTTTGCTCAACTGCATCTTCTAAAAAGACAGCAAAAATAGTAACAGTAGAAGATTTTATCAGGCTGCAAAATATCAGGTGAGGGGCTAGGTCAGCGGTGGGGAAGGGAGGAGAGGAGAGCTTGCAATGACATATCAGGAACTTAAATTTTGTTTCAAGTGTCCACTGTGGCTGCCTTGTCAGTGTGGATGGGAAACAAGCTTTCAATGTAAACATCCCCATAACAACAACCCCACCACTGCCCCCCTTGTTCCAGCCTTCCCTGACAGCAAGCTCACAGAATAGCTGTGATTAGATATATTGATAGCAACTTACCAAGTAAGCACCCTTTCCCCTTCCCTCTACTTTCTTACAGGGCTCAAAATTAACGGTAACCCGATAAACAATGGTTAGTAGATTTCAAAGTTTGGTTACTAAAAATTAGCCTTAGTAACCCGAAACCGTTAGTAAAAATATTTGTCATGGAAAATCCCCTTTACATGTGTTTCGTTTTTTGCAAAGAGATTATGTCCTATCTCGAACAATAATTTATTGTTCTAAAAGATATGCTTACATTATAATCCATCAACACAAAAAAAGCGCACTTCACACAACTCAAGGTAACCAGGTTTTTGTTGGATGGGGAGATCCATTTTACTTGTTTCTGGGTTTGTTTTCATTGTGGAGACGAGGAAGATCGAGAAAAACTTGACAAACATAATAAACAAAAGGTACAGTTTCAAAGGCTCCTGGAGGTGGCAAATAATAATAAATAAATAATGATTTGGAGGTATGAAGAACAAGGAAAGAACTTTCCAACTAGAATCAGGCCACTTGATAGGGTGTGATAAAAAATCAGAAATTGTGCGATATTTTCAGGGTAGATTGTGCGATAAGATAGGACTATTATGCGATTTTTTCGGGGCTAATTTACATTGTTTTACCAGGTTTCAAAGGAGAAAAACCACTTTAATGTTGTTTAACAGGCAATTTGAATGTAAAGGAATAATAAAACATCTATTTTAAAATAGGATAGTTAAATTTGTCCAATTATTTTGACCTGGAAAAGAAAAAGGACACTTGTTTAATATTACATATTACAGCACTGACTATGCTGATTGTCTCTGAAATCAAAATGGTTGCCCAGATACCACAATCGAAGGTTTCAGATGTCTTGCAAGGCATTCTTTAGCAGTAAATCACCTTAAATAACTTTAAGATTGGGAAATGTTTAATTAAAGTTAGTATTCATTGCTCACTTTACTTGAATTTAGCATTTTTTTTCACGAATTACGTGATTTTCCTCAAATTGTGCGATCGGATGTGATTTGAGATTAATTATTGTGCGAAATCACACCAGCACATAATATCAGATGGCCTGTAGAATCAAAAAAGGCATTCTCCTGGCTGCAGCTCGATGAGTCTAAGCAAACAACATTTTGCTGGGCTTTTAGAAAATTTGCTGCCTCTGTGTAATGCAATTGAAAGGAAAACGTCAATGAGCATTAAATGGCTTTTTTTTCACAGATCATGTAATTTGAACCAATCCATCCTCGCATTAGTTTGCCCCATGCCCCATTTATTAGCACTATTTTCAATAATGTTAAAATCTAGTCATTTCAAGAACGGATTCTTGGATAATAATCTTTAGCATCTAGTTGATTTGCATATTGCTGAAGTGTGCTGAAAGGTGGGGGCCAGAGTATGGCCCTAAGGAGGTTAAAGAAATTCCTCTCATAGATTTTTGTGAAATGTTGCAAACCAGAAGGCAAGCACTTCAAAGTATATGTAGAGTAGAGGATTTCCAGAGAAAACACAAATAAAGGCTGAAATCCTATTAAATGCTAAAATAATAGTAACATCATTGTCATGTGACATTCGAATAATAAAATCACCTAAAAAGATATATCTCAATACAGTTCAATCTATGTCTAATCCCTTGTGTTATAATGGATTTACAACAAAGACCAAGTTCTTTAAGTAGAAGAGGTTCAAATTAAAAATGGAAAAGGTATTCCCACAAAAATATTTGGTCCACAGGGCGCGAAATAATGGCCGGTCAACGGACAATGTCCGGACTTGTTGGGGAGTTGACCAGTCAACTTTTCGTCTTGCCGGTCATGTTGACTGGTCACAATCGATCGTATTGAAAATGAAAATTATTCAGTTGTTTCAATTGTTATAGGTATGTAGCGAGTTGCTGTGCATTGTGAAACGTTGATCTGAAATCCTGGGTGAAATACAACTAGAAACGTTGTTTACAATTCGCGCAGTGAAACAGACATTGGGGTTCACGTGCTTTCGGTCACAAAATTAAGAATATTTTCACTTTTATGAGTTAAACAACATAGGGCGTCTGATTGGTCACGGAGAAAAAAGTCAAGTTTAGCGGGATTTTTAGAGAGATTCGCGAAAAAATCGGCTGATATCGCGGGAATTTCGCGGAAATTTTCGGGACTAACTTCGCCAAAAAACAACAGGGAAAAACGGCCGATTTCGTGGAATTTTCTGGGCAAATTTCGCTGATTTGACGAGCGTGTTTAAAGTTTTTTAACAGAGATAATCACTTGCTATTTTAACTACAAAGCGCTTGAGAAATGAGCAAATGGCAAAGCTTTTTAAAACATCATGACTAGTGCCCACTTGTTCCCAACATAACTTATGCCTGGTAGTTTTGGAACGTTGTTCGCTCGTTGTGGGAATGAACGTGACGGCAATTAACAGCCCCAATAGCCGAGATAAGTTTCAATTATGTTGTATCGACATGTACTAGATAGGATTTCTAACAAATTTCGTGGCCCCGCGAACCCGCGAAATATCTGAACCCATAGCTGTTTTTTGGAATATATAAAGCCATTTTTGGTTCATCGGCCCTTGTTTTAAGAGTTAAAATTTGACCGGCCAGAAACGATAAGTGACCGAGCTAAAATGAATTTAGCCGGTCATCGTGTCTGAAGGCTCTCCGGAAATTATTTCGAGCCTTGGGTCCAGAACCTTAAGTCTTCATGTCAACCATGCTGGGTGCAGCCCAATTTTGGCAAGAAAAACATTAACTAAGTCACGACTTCTTCTGTTTCTGCCTTGCATATATGGCTCCTATCATGATCATTTGGGCATTTTTACAAGATTTAAAATGCAATTAATTGCCTCATTATACACAGCACTGTACAGAAAAGTTTGCAAAAGAATCTGCTAACTTACCCTCTTTGACTTCTTTTTTCGTTCGAGTTCCCTGTTCTAGAATCACTGATTTAAAGATCACATCTTCGTCACTTGCTGCTGACAGATCTTCGAGAATTTGCTCTACTGTAGGTGGAGATGGAGCTTGGTGTGCTTTTGAGCTAGACATTTTGAAGGACTCTAGAAAAACCATCACGGAACATCACAATTTTATAAAGTCAACATGTCACCCTTCACGTGGCCGCCATTTTGAATGTTGATACAATATCCGCTGACTGGTAGGACGGTGGACGTACCATTCTCCCCATTCCTTCTCTTCTCAGTGTCTGCTGAAGAAATGCGGGGAAGCGGGAAATATTTTTAGGTATTCAAGGGGTTTTGCAGTAATGAAAAAGCTTAATCTTGGAAAGTTACGATGTTCCACTGCTTCCTCGAGTAAAGGTTACCCCTCAAGTAGTAGATCATCCGCAAAGAACCAATCTCAGGCCACGATTTCTAGCTTCTTCATCAACAAGTCATGCTCAAAAGACGAGAACAAGGTCACGGCCAAATCTGCCAAATCAGCAGTCAAGGTAGGGTTCTACTACAACACAGTCCTGAAGGGATTGTACTAAACTAACAATTAGAAACATTTACGTGATGCTTTCATTTCACCACGAGCTCCAGCCTGATCACGCATTGCTTCTCACTGAGGATTTGCCCCCCCCTTCCCCCCCCCCCCCCCCCCACCGGGTTTCACAAATACCGAATCACCGTGGGAGTGTGTATATTTTGGTTTATCCTTTTATCACTGTAAAGAAGCGATGGCTATGTTGTCTCTCTTCCATGCTTTTCACCCAGACATCCGAATGAGTACCAGAGTAACCCCTGCCCCAGTCTCCCCCCTGAATAGGGTGCTCATCTAATTCAATGTTTCAACTGTTACAGAGGGTCTACAGCTTAAGACCGTATTTGTTCTTGGCTGCAAGTGCTCAAATTGTATGGACAGTCTTTCATTATTTTTCACGCGACAAAATACATACATACTAGGATTAGAGCTCGAGAAAACTTCTGCTGTTAGGGCTGTGTACATGCATTCTGTGCAGGCAGGCTATGAGTTGGTGTCTGAGTGTGTCAGCTGTTTTAAGGTGTCTATCAAATCTAGCATTTATTAAGCCTAGTATTGTTTATTAATTAATAGATTATAAATTAAAAGTCAATGCAGTGTAGCATATATAGGGAGTTGTTGCACAATCTCCCCAGCTGGAGTTGGTTTTATGGTGTCTGCATCATGGTATTCAGTATGCCGCTCCTAAAACATATACATACATTTTTAATGGAGGAGCTGGTGACAGACACCCATGACTTACGATTCATCAATTTCTTTTGTTTTGATCAGAGAACTGCTGCAAGCATTTTACTACATGATGGTGATGATGGTGATAGTCAGAATAATCATAAGAAGCAGAGGTTTGATACTGAACTACTCTCCACTCAGGATGACAAGAGTCATGATCCTTTAACATCAACAGATAACGAAGTCATAAGGCCTTCAACAATGACCAAATTAAGTTGTTTCAGAAAAGACTCAAATGTAAAGGATTCATCTACAAAGACTGAACATAGTAGAGCACAAAATTCTAAAGAGTGTGTTGATGACAATATGGAACTGGATAATGACATGGACAGAACAAATTTAAGCAGTGGTTGCAGTTTTAGTGGTGCCAAAATGGATGATGTAAAAGACATGGATGTGAAGAAAACTGAAAATCTTCAGAAAGTCAGGCCTAATTTGGAGCAGTTTGCTTGTGCATCACGTCCAGCTTCATGTAAAACAAAACTTACATCAACAGAGAAGAGTGAACCAAATGGCTCAAAAACTTTTAACCTTAAACCAAAATCAGCTTACACTCCACTAGAACTTCAGTTTGTAGAAGTAAAGTCTAACTACCCTGATGTTATTTTATTTGTTGAATGTGGCTACAGATACAGATTCTTTGGGGAAGATGCAGAGGTAATAATGCAATGTTTCCAACACACATGTACATGTAGTATGGGCGGAGTTAGGGCGGGTTGGCTGAGTGGACTGTGGCCACCCCTTTTGCTGTGAAATTTTGTATTATCTTTAAAGGATTCTCAGTAAAATAAATAGTATCTATATAATTGCCAAGTGTCCCATCCTCCCTTTCTGAATTTTCTGGATTCCCCCCAGTGTAGCTACTGAATATTTGCCCAAGGAGATTCAATATCGCAAGCAATGTACATAATTCTTTTTCTTCCATGCCAATGGAATCAATCAATCAGATCACACATTTGTTGTTCTTTCAATTAAAAGAATTTTGTTTAATCTGGGTCAAGATCATTGAAGTATATCATAGTGTTTTCTTCAAACCAAAATGAGCAACTTATTGAAGCATAGCAAAGTCAGATTAAATCTTGTCTTGCTATTTATTGTGTTTTGTTTATACAATGTAGATAGCTGCCAAAGAGCTGAACATCTTTTGTCACGTGGATCATAATTTTCAAACTGCAAGCATTCCAACTCATAGACTTCATGTCCATGTTAAAAGGTACATTAATTATTTTAAGCTTACTTGAAACTTTAACATATTTATAATAATTATGAAGAAATATCAGAAGAACCCTTATTCAAAAGTTAATGCATGATATAAATATGTAACAAATACAAATTATGCTTATTATTAAGTTAGACACCACCTTAATCCAATAGGCTTTAGAGAGCGCTGAGATTTGTTTTTGTTTTGAGTTGCTTACACTTGTTAATTTTCGATGGTTTTAATCTGATTGATTGTATTTCTGAAGTGGCAGCTTCTCATATAGAAACTGAACATTGGCGCACAGTTCATCCAGACAGTGAGTGCATAGTGGACTTTTTATTTTACCCCTGTAGATTGGTGAGTAAAGGTTATAAAGTTGGAGTAGTGAAGCAAACAGAAACAGCAGCACTGAAGGCAGCTGGAGAAAATAAAAGCAAAGTTTTTACAAGAAAATTACATGCACTCTACACAAAGACTACACTAGTTGGTGAAGGTATCCTTTTTGCAAACTTGAACAGGACCTTTCACACTGACCACATCATAACTCGAAAAGGGACAAAAGACTATTCAGTTTCTGGATACTGTTCCAAAGGAGGAGTTGAATCAGTGGTTCTCTGAGGCTTGGTTCAAAACATTGCATTTCACATGTCCCTAATTTAATGCGTTAAATAAGGAAAAACTTTTTTTTCTTTTCATTTGCATGAGATTCGGCACATGTCAAATGCGATATTTGAACCAGACTTAAGTAACTCTAAATCTTTGAATGCCAGCTACTATGCATTAAGATGGAAAAATGTCTTTGAACTTATTGATCAATCTGATAATATACTTGTAATAGTTTAAATGCTGACCTTAATGATCTAAAGATTTGAAAATGCTGGATGATTTAGAGGAAACTCAGGATTCTGTTGAGATGGGAAGTGGCTATCTCATGTGTCTTGTTGAAACTAATCTTAGTGATAAGAAAACAAGTAGTGACATGGTCAAAAGAACTTTTGGCTTAGTGGTAAGTATCTTTGTAATCAAAGTTCCTGTTGATACTGTTCAACATGAAAAGCTTTGCAAATGTTTGTATTGAAATGAGAAAAGTCGGGCTTAATTCACTGATCAGATGAATGAAATATATCCAGACAGCTGCCAAGAAGTGGGTTGTGCCAAGTTTATCAAACCACAGAATAAAACACTCCTTTGAGCTTCTTTTATGATCAGAAAAATTCAAAGCAAAAGTTTACACGTTCAGAGTGCCAGTGATTATTTAGGGGATTGTTCTGTTTACTATGCATAAAATGAGTGTGAGAAATGCCTTTCAAAAAACCGATTCCAAGATAATTTAGTTTCAGTTCAACTGCTATTTAAAGAAAGTAAATTTTCTCTAAAGTTACTGTATGTAGCCAATTTGCTCACTAGTGATACTTATTTTCTCCAGGCAGTTCAGCCGTCAACAGGTGATATTATATATGATGAATTTGAAGATGGACCAGGTTTCACTGAACTGGAAACACATTTTGAGCACATCAGTCCAGAAGAACTACTGCTTCCATATTCTGTTTCTGAATCAACAAACACATTTATTAAAGAATATGTCACAAGGCTGCAAAGGTCAGTTTATTTATATGTATAGTTTTATTTTTAGCTTTTGTGTAAAATTGAATTACAGGTAACTCCATTCCAACTTTTAGTGTCAATGTACATACAGCATAAAGTACTAGAATATTATTCAGGGCACTGTTCTTGTAGTGCGAAGAAAATAATTAAGACACCACCCCACCTCCCCCCTTCCCAAAGAAACATGACTTGTGTGATTGTAGTGCAAGTAGGAATCATGGGAAATAAAAAGCATCAGCTTACATGTATGTTTCTGTGGGTGTGTCTCTCCTGTTTGTCCTGCTTGTTGTTTGTTATATCGCTACCCTGGTTACATTTTCATGCCTGCCACTAGAGATGTAGGGATCCCCTTTTTCATGGTCATTCATGCTACTCAAAGGTCTAGTTGACTGTAAAACAAAGGCAGTGCCTTTCTCATGACACAGAACCATAGTTTTGATCCCTGTATGACCATTGCAGCTCTTTATAAATTTAAATATTTCTAATTCATTTTTTTGCTATAATTGTGTTGTTACAGACCAGAAGATAGCATCAGACTAGAACGAATGGCTGATCAATTGTATGAAGAATCTGCTGTTCTGAAGCAGATCACTGAATTCTATGACCAGCATATGTCTGAGAGAAATCACCAGTTATGTAAACTGAACATTGAAAGGGAATCACCCTTAAATGCTGACCAGGAAACTTCTACAGCCTTGGAAGTACTCTTGAATTTGCCAAAATCAGTGCAGATGTGTTTTGCTGCACTTATCCAATACCTCCAAGACTTCAAACTGGAAAAGATTCTCAGATTAACAAGGTGCTCATGCAACTAATGCAATACGTTTTGTTGATTTTGTAGAATGTGTCATATAGCTTGCCTTGTATGCTTGACTGCTTGTAAGGCAAGCTACCTGTAAAATCAAATGTCACATGAAGCTTGCCTTGTTTATAACCTACTCCACATTGTTCAAAATTGTTGCACAAAAATGGACATAAATGTATCACCAGCCTATTCACAGTATTAACAGATAATGGATGGGGGTAATGGGTTGTAGATGCAGGTTTCTCATATGATTATGTTTTGAAGCAGACAGCTAGGATGTAAAAGTAGGTGGCTTAGCAGGCGATTGGTGAAGGAAATTTTAGGCTTTCATCCTCTCCCATAACCATTTTTCCCCAAAGAGTAGGCAGCTCAAATTTTGAAGTAGGCGCATTTTTAGCTGTGTTCTAGCACATAAAGAGAACTCTGGGGACAGGAAAGGGTGGAGCTGGTCATGTATGGGTTTTAAACGCCCTTAAAAAATTAATGTCAATCCTGGCTTAAACGTGACTTTGATTTTGAAGTCAGGTTCTTTTATAACGTGATTATTATTTGTATGCACAAAGTAGAAATTAGCATCAAGTCAATAACCCTTTGTCATGACATACTCATGATCCCCTCAAAGGGTGCCTGAAGTTTAGCTGCCTCCTCAAGTAACACATTCTTGAGAGAGGGGAGCTATGATCCTGGATCATGTCAAGTTTATTCATTTTTATTGAATATATTTCTTCTATCCTATGCAATGTAACATGTATGTTTCCATATTCCAAATTTTATAGTAACTTTTCCAAATTCTCCATTCAAAACAAGTTTGTCAAACTCAGTGGCCAAACTCTAAGGAACCTGGAAATATTTAAGAATCAGGTATGTACGTGCAAGTTAACTGATGTGAGTAAAACCTAACATTTTGGTGACATCTAAAGTCCTTTCTTCGACAAAGAAGTAAACCTTGCGTAGAAGCTATTGAAATTGTTGTTGTTGCTTTTTTAGGGCTTGTCTTGAATTTGTTTTGGTTCTTTCTGATCTTAGACAAATGGAAGCGAAAAGTCTTCATTATTTTGGGTTATTAACCACACTACAACTGCGTTTGGCCGAAGGCTGTTGAAGAAATGGATTTCACGACCGCTTCGTACAGTCAGGTATCTTTTCAAATCTTGAGAATTTTTATTCCAGACATGGTTCAATTGATACAATTAAAATTTGAAGTAAACACTTGCACGTTCAGCTGCCGTCAAGCGCGAGTAAATATACCCAGGAAAGTGTCTACTGGATTTACTTTTCCTCTTGATTGGTCAAGAATCTGGCAAGAAATTTTTGAGCTTATTATCGCCGGAGTGCGAAATATACATACGTAAAAGAAGATTATAAAAAAAGTCTTAAAGTTTCTGTCTTCACTCAACTTAAAAAACGCTCCAACAAGATATTACAACAAATGCTACTTTATTGGTGCCTTTAGTGAATGGATCTGAAGAGTAGCTTTGCGGTCGTTTTCCTTTTGCGACTGCTCGGGAACTTTTGCTGCGCTTGGTCTTCGCCCCGCCAGCCCATATGAATCCTGATTTGTTCATTCGCGTAGGTTCTGTACCCCTCTTTTGTGTGTACGAAAATAAGTGGCAAAAACCACTCAAAGTAAAAACTATTGTTTGGTTACTTCATAAACCATCACTAAGTGTGTTTTAGCTTTGGCTTTTTTCTCGATGTTACGGCTTTTCAATGTTCAGTAATTAAAACGCTTTTGGCTTTTATTATTAGCGCGATTGAAGAGAGGTTGAGTGCGGTCACAGAATTGTGCAGCCCAAATGCATCATGTCTGTCGCATGTGAAGGGCTTGTTATCTCAGCTTCCTGATTTAGAGCGAGGTCTCTGCACCATCTTCCACAAAAAGGTTAGTTTGATAAAACATGTGCCGACTTCCTGCCAGGATCGCTGTTAATTCATTTAGTCCGCTGTAGCTGCCCTCTACGTTTTTCTTAGTCTTTGAAAGATATTTGCTATGACCATTTTGATGATAGTCACTAAACATACTTTGGTTCATGAAATTTTTTGCTGTTGTTTTAGAGATCTTTGTCTTTAAAGGTGAATTTAGGTATGGTACATTAACTGTTAACATTACGTATTAAACGAGAAGGTTACTACACTGGACTGTTGCAGCTTTAAACAGTTATTATATCACAAGCTACTTAACTCTGTAGCAACATAGATCAAAAATCAGGCACGTCCAGCAATATTAGCCCTTGACTTAGTATTTTTAACATTTGAAATCTTCAGCGTTTAGTCTCGCACTTAATGAAGTCAATGATTTCGTTTGTTTTTCTTAATTTCAGTGCACACCAGCAGAGTTTGTAACGATAACAAAATCACTCGTTAATCTGGCCAAACATCTTCAATCAAATCAGCAAGTTGCTACCACTAAACTAGAATCGCCGTTATTAAGAAGTATCTTCGCGGAGGTATATGGACTATTAATTTTGTATGTTTAATAAACACTGCTGCTCTGAGATGATTCTCGATTAACAAGTCATGCTCTAAAAATGTTTTTAAGACATGGAATTTTGTGCAGTGATCCTATATGCAGTTTAATCGGTTTGCTGAAGGCGCTAGTTTCTTTGCGTTTTAGTACCATAAACGTTTCTAATAAATAATATTGCGTACTTATTGATTAAGGCAAGTGTCAAGATTTTTTTAGCCTGCGTGGCAGGCGTTCGAAAGGGAAGGGGAAGGAATTAGGGCGCGAGAGCCACGCAGGCTAAGATCAGTTTGTTTTTCTCGTTGCAGGTTCCAAATTACTTGAATGATGTTGGCGATTTCTTGAAGCTAGTAAATGAAAAGGCTGCTAAGTAATGAACATTTGTTTTTGTCATTGTTTCGTTTACTTACAGTGTATTGGATCGGTTCCAGTTGTGTGTGGAAAGAAATTTTGCGATTGCTGTAGTTTCCCACCCCAATGTTTTTTAATAATTATTGACTCAAATAAACATCACTCTCAGCCTCTTTTTCAAAGCAGCAAGTCCTGGTGCTTATCCTTTCGTATGAAAATAAGTCCTCATTCGAGTACAATGTGGATGGCTATGCACCAAGCCTGGTTTTGAAAAAGAGACTTGAGACGACTAGGAGATTAGCTGTTAAACCACACCGTTCCATCGTTAAAGTTGCTATCGTGAATTGTTTTTGTGAGTTGAGACTGGGAGATACGAAACACTCGATATATTATAGTGAGTAATAATTCCAATTTATTAAACCATCGACTTTTGTTTGTGATAGGGAAGGTGACAAAACAAGATTGTTTGATGACCTGACACAGTTCCCTGAAATCATGAAATGCAATCTGGTAAGGCCTTGACAGAATATGTAGAATGCGTCATTTTTTTTTTCTTGTTTATTTCCCCACACTACAGCGATCCAAGAATTCTGCTGTTTCCTTTAACTTAAAGCGCGCGCGTAAAGGACAACGAGGAGGTAAACTGAGCAAGGAGAGACCCTCTTCGTCAGCTGTTTTCCTTCTCACCCTGGTGCGATGCGCTTCACTCGTTTCCATTCTCTAAAAAATGATGTGTTTCGCGTCATCTGGCGCAATCTCCTTTTCAGTGGCTGAAAGCCCACCACTTGACCTGCAAATAACTGCCTACAGATGATGGTCTGCTCATGCGCGTTCGTCCACTAACTGAGTTTGGCTGCAAATAATATTCTGCTTATGCGTACATGAAGCCACGCTTTTCTTCTTTTTTCGATCGCTCTTGCGTGAAAATGGCAGATCGCTTCACTTAAAGAAGATATTCATTAAAAACAAACTCGGTGATCGAATGATGAAACAATTATTGAACTCGGCTATCGCAAAGTATTTTAATTTGTCAGTCTCTCTGCTCACCACTGACAAATCACGATATTTTCCTCAACCTCGTTCAATAATATTGTTAATTAGTCTCGTTCATTACATTGCGGCCTTGTAAAGTTCGACGTTTGAGCCTGGCTAAAGTCCAGCCCTTTTCGCCTTGTTTGTTTGAGACTAACTGTGATGTAAATGTTTGCATGCATCTTTGTTTGGCGCATAGGAAATTGACAGGATTATCGCAGAGTTGAAAAGCCATCGATCTGAATTCAGACAAGTTTTACGCCATCCATCACTGGACTACTGTTGTGTTTCAGGAAATGAGGTATCAGAGAAGTTTAGGAAGAAGGACTGGATCATTTTTATTGTAGGTAGTGTCGACCGATCTATCGATCGATATAGCGGTCGATAGTCGGTCGACACTCGGTCGATAGTCGGTCGAGACTCGGTCGATAGTCAGTCGAGCGTGGGATAGACTATCGGCCGAGTATCAGTCGATATTTCGACGACGCACCTCGACCGACTATCGGTCATATGTCGGTGATATATCGGTCGAATATCAGTCGCGTGTTAATTTAGTTTGCTGAAAAAGAAGTAAATTTAGATAGCCGCATTCTACTGTATTGAAATAGTTCATGAATCAGATTGTAAATCTGAGTATTTCCCTTAAACCATTTGTATTTGAGAAAAACCAGGCAATATGTAATATGATTTTGGTGTATAATATAAATTTTTCTCACAAAGAGCTGCAGTATAGATGTTTTTCTTCCGTTTTGTTCATTTTGAATGTCACTACATCTTTTTCAGTTTTTAATTGAGGTTAGAAATGCAAATTTGAGGATGGTGCCTTCTGACTGGATTAAAATCAGCGCGTAAGTATAGTTAGTTATGTTTTGCATCTTACTACGCGCGAAAACCTGTTTGTTCTTTTACAATGCGAATGATGAGCAAATACAAATAACTTTTTAATCAACGTTGGAAGTTCCTTAAATTGTGGCAGGCTTGCATTGCAGGGTAGGAATTCGTCTAAAAATGAGGTCTTCTTAGGAAGATGAGATGAAAGTTGACGTGTTTCTATAAAGGAAACAGTAAACTGTAGTCTCGAGTCTTGACCAATCTCGAGCAAAAATAATAGAGCTTTCGGCGGCAACGGCGGCCTTGACCACTATAATTATGTAAGCACGGTGACGTGGTTCTGAAGGCAAAAGTTGGCCGGTTTGGGACATTGTGTCTCAGGGCCCTTTAACACGTGACATGATTAGATTTCTCCAATTGCAAGGTAATTGGAATTTTAGCACTATCCCAGTTCAGGCATGGCGGCCTTATTCAGCCCCCCACCCCCCCCCCCCGTACATAGCCCTCTTGTACTAGTCACCCACCCCCTGCTGAAGATTGCTCCAGTTCCTCAACAGACAGTTCATGTAATCTTTTTTTTCGTAGAATAAGTCTTTTCACGCATTCCTCATTAACTTCTTACTTTTTGAATAGTTTGTTTGGTCTTTGATTGCGCGGCAATGGATCATTCATGTTTTTGTATCTACCAGCACTAAACAAGTATCGCGATTCAGAACGCCTTTTGTTGAAGAAAAGTTCAAGATCCTATGTCAATGGAGGGAACAGCTGTCCATTGCAGCTCAGGAGGCGTGGTTGGAATTTTTAGCGCTATTCTCAGAGGGATGTTCCAGATATCGGTGGGCTGTTCATTGTATCGCCACTCTCGACTGTCTGTTTTCTCTGGCTGCTGTTGCTAAGCAACCAGGTTTTGTGAGGTAAGGTGATCTAAAGACCAACCAACCAATCGAGTTTTATTTACCAGTAAAGCAACCGTACACTACAGTACCGTTTACCGGTGGAGATCACGCGCGTCTTTTTTTCGCTTGGTTTGTTTTATTTTCGCGACGTCCCTAGGCCTACTATCTGAGAGCTTAGCACAGGCCACAAGAAAAGCGACGAGATAAAGGAACTGTGAGGTTTCACTATAAAAAAAAACTAAGTTTATCCCTTGTTTTGGTCATGCTTCTGAAATTTATTTCATTTTCTATGTTCTTCAGGTTAACTTTTTTTTGTGTCGTTGCAGGCCGTTTGTGAGGGACTGCGAATCTCATATTTATATCAAACAAGGACGACACCCCGTGATAGATAATCTTTTGCCCGAAAACGAGCAGTTTGTACCAAATGATACAGACATGAATGTAAGTCAATAATATTTAACGTGGCTCTAACGTGGTTTGTTGTCTGTGAAGCAGAGTCTTGTGATATTGAAAACTCCTTGATATCCGCGGAGCCAACAATTCCGGTACGAACCAGGGCCAGGGTTTGAATTTTTTCATCTTCATAGCATTCATTTACTTAGGCAGGTTGGCGATGTACTGATTGAACGCCGGGTAATCTCAAGTGCATGAGTTCCGTCTTGGTTATTAGACGTAACTGTTAAGCGACATATTACTACGGACCTAAAATAAGATACCCCGCCTTTCTGCCTACGCGTGCATGGGTAGGGACATGTCTCTCCTGACAGTGTGTTAATATATAGTCAAGGGGACCATGTTTTCCTAATCATTGTATTTAACAATTATTCCTCGAGCCCGAATGGGCTCTGAGTCAATACGGGCTATTGACTCAGAGGCCAGAAGGGCGAGAGGAATAATTGTTTTAGTAAAATCCAACTAGTTGGTCAAAAATATTGAGAATAAAAAAAATTTAGCTAGTTCAAGCTAGACTTTAACCTTTTTTTGCCGCCAAAAAGCCCGCGCTTTTTGCTACTAATGGGCTATAACATGTAGCCTAGTAGTAGCTCAACCAATCAGAACACAGCATTGATAATAGACCGCTAGTTGGATTTTACTAATAAATATTATCACTCTACCAGGTAGCCTTCAACATGCACAAACCGTTTTTCCCCGGCAGGAGGAGGTTTAGCCGCCTTTACGGTTACTGTACGAGTAATTTACTACACTACCTGTACACCGGAAAAGGTTTATCTCCAAAGAATAATTACAGTAGTTTCACTTATTTTCAGGTAAATGATAATCGTTGTATGATAATTACTGGACCAAACATGGGTGGAAAGAGCTCTTATATCAAACAAGTAAGCATAAATTCAGTTTTCTTTAGCTCTTTTCCTTTTCAACGTTTACTGTCACTTGTGGCGAACTGCAAGGCAATCTAATGGCTGGATAGTACTTGAAATAATCTTGTTCTACTGAAGCGAGCGCCACCAAACAATTTCACGAACGTCGTACATGTAAAAGTAATGAAAGAACGAACGAAAAAACGAAAAACAGAGCGAGGGAGCGAGCTCGAGTTCGCGTGCAGCTTCACCACCCATATACCTGACAACATGTGATAAGGTAGTAAGTGCTGTTGTAGAAAACGCTTTTTAATTAGAATTGAAACCTGACTGACCCTACCCCACACAGGTTGCCTTGATTGTAATTCTGGCCCAGACCGGCTCTTATGTTCCAGCCGAGGAGGCGAAAGTTGGAGTTTTGGACGCGGTTTTTACCAGGTATTATCATTACAAATAATAGGGAAAAAATGAAAGGCTCAAATTTACCTCACATTCATATTTTATTCGTGTATGGATTTGTTAGTTCTTTTTGTTGCGATTTTAATGACAATTGATAGGTAGAACTCTACTGTTAGGAGTTATTCTTCAATAGTGTTTGAAATAGTTGTCACTGCATGCTTTACAGGATGGGAGCTTCAGACAACATTTACAAAGGGCAGAGCACGTTTATGGTCGAACTTCAGGTACTTACATACATTTCAGCTTACTTTAACTAAAATCGTCAAGAGAAACAACGAACTGTTGGGTCTTGCCAAACCTGACAAAAGGTTGCACCAGTCCTCCTACTGTAGTTTTGAGGTGAAGGTGAATAGTTCTTGAGTTTTATTAATAATTATCGCGTCGTTACTTTGCGGTCGTAAGATGTTTTCGAGTCATGTTTTGGCAAACTAACAATAAAGTAGAAGACTTGTTGCTGAGAATGCTAGCTGATTGTAAACTTAATTCTCTTCCGTTTTAGGAAACATCGGACATTATTGCCCAGGCCACTCCAAAGTCACTGGTTATCTTGGATGAGTTGGGCCGGGGTACTAGTACCCATGATGGTACGGCCATTGCTTATGCTACGCTGCATCACTTTATTAGTAAGGTATGTGTTCTAGACTTAAAAATTCCGTGTTTCCATATTCTAGACTGAAACAGCAGTTGGGAACGCAATATCTTGCTGAAATTGTATGCCGATCTCATCTGGGAGAGGCCAGGAGACGCTCTATCAAAAGCTATCCATTACTCAGTCTAGTGTACAAGAGATAAACCGGATCTTCTTCGTGCAAGTCAAAAGATCGTTGTACCCTTTGTTCCCCCTGGTTACCCCTCTTACCCCTTGTTACCCTTTGTTCCCCTTGTTACCCCTCTTACCCCTTGTTACCCTTCATACCCCCTTGTTACCCCTTGTTTCCCTTTGTTACCCCTGTTACCCTTTGTTCCCCCTGTTACCCCCCTGTTACCCTTTGTTCCCCCTTGTTACCCCTCTTACCCCTTGTCACCCTTTGTTCCCCCTTGTTACCCCTCTTACCCCTTGTTACCCTTTGTACCCCCTTGTTACCCCTTGTTTCCCTTTGTTACCCCTGTTACCCTTTGTTACCCCTTGTTATCCTTTGTTCCCCTTGTTACCCCTTGTTTCCCCTGTTACCCCTTTTTACCCTTTGTTGCTCCTTGTTACCCCTGTTACCCCTTGTTAACCCTGTTACCCTTGTTACCCTTTGTTACCCCTTGTTATCCCTGTTACCCCTTGTTACCCCTGTTACCCCTTGTTACCCCTATTCGCCTTGTCACCCCTGTTACCCCTTGTTACTCTTTTTGTTACCCCTGTTACCCCATGTTTCTCCTGTTACCCCTTGTTACGCCTGTTCCTCTTCTTACCCGTTACCCCTTGTTACTCCTGTTTCGTTGTTACCGCTGTTACCCCTTGTTACCCCTTTACACCTTGTTACCTCTTGTTCCCCTTGTTACCCCTATTAGTCCTTGTTATCCCTTGTTCCCCCTTGTCCCCCTTGTTACTCATGTTGCCCTTTGTTCCCCCTTGTTCCCCCTGTTACCCATTGTTAATTCTTGTTACCCTTGTTACCCTTATTACCCCATTTTACCCCTGTTATCCCTGTTACCCCTTGTTCCCCCTGTCCCCCTTGTTACCCCTTGTTTCCCCCTTTACCCCTTGTTACCCTTTGTTACCCCTTGTTACCCTTGTTACTCTTTGTTACCTCTGATACCCTTTTTACCCCTTCTTACCTCTGTTACCCCTTGTTCCTTCTTGTTACCCCTGTTACCCGTTGTTACCCCTTGTTTCCCCTGTTACTGTTGTAACCCCTCTTACCCTTTGTTACCCCTTGTTACTCCTCTTATGCGTTGTCACCCCTCTTTTCCTTGTTACCCTTGTTACCCTTTGTTACCTCTGATACCCTTTTTACCCCTTCTTACCTCTGTTACCCCTTGTTCCCTCTTGTTACCCTTGTTACCCTTTGTTACCCCTTGTTACATACATACATACATACATACATACTTTATTGGCTCGTCCCCACGGGGCTTTTCAGAGTCAATTTTACATTACAAAATTATAAACCAAGTACATGACAATAAGAATATAACAATGATAAAAGAAGACAAAGGTCAATAAAATTAATTAAATTAATTAAATAAAGCAGTCATTAAGAAGCTTTTGCCTGAGTAAACACTTGAATTCCGTCATGGATGGGCTAAGTTTGAGCGCAGGCTGCAACTCATTCCAGAGAGAGGTTGCTCTATATTGAAAGGTCCTTTGGCCGCTGGCAGTGCGGAAGAGTGGTATGTTCAAAAGTTGAGAATTTTCGTATTCCTTGTCGAGACGGCGGATCTTCCAACGAGCTTTGATGTCAAATACGCCGGAGCACAACTCGTCATGCACTTAAAAACCAGAACAGCAAAACGAAAATAAAGTTGTTGCCTGATTGGTAGCCAGCGCAAGTCTTTTAGCAAAGGAGTTATGTGATCGAATTTTTAGCGCCCTCAAAAAAATACGACAAAGCGAAATTCTGTACTGCTTGGAGCCTGTCCAGATTAGTTTGAGTAGTATTGCTCCAAACAGAAGAGCAATAGAATAATTTACTAAATACTAAGGCATTTATAATAATAATTAGCGCGTGTTTATTAAAAATATGCTTAGCGCGGTTAATTTGGCCCAAACGTGACATGCATGAGGATACAGTAGAAACAATATGCTCATTATAAGTTAAGTTAGAGTCCAGTGTGACACCAAGGTCTCTTGCAGCCTTAACAGGCTCGAGTTCCTTCCCCAACAGAAATAGCCTAAAGTCGCTAACCTTAGCAGTCATTTGCCGGCTGCCGAATATCACTAGTTTTGTTTTATCTGGGTTGAGTAAAAGCTGATTATCAAAGCACCAATTCCTAATGCTTAACAAGTCCTTGTTCATTTTTTCTATCGTTTCGTGCTGATCGCGGAGTTGAAATGACATGAGAAGTTTGGTATCGTCGACGTAACACTGCGATGTACAATTTTCTGGCACTGTTACCTCTTGTTTCCGCTGTTCCCCTTGTTACCCCTTGTTCCCCTTTGTTACCCCTGTTCCCCTTGTTACCCCTGTTTACCCTTGTTACCCTTTGTTACCCCTTGTTACCCCTATTACCCCTTGTTACCCCTTGTTGCCCTTTGTTACCCCTCTTACCCCTTGTTACCCTTTGTTACCCCTCTTACCCCTTGTTACCCTTTGTTACCCCTTGTTATCCTTGTTACCCCATGTTACCCATGTTACCCCTTGTTACCCTTTGCTCCCCCTTGTTACCCCTGTTAGCCCTTGTTACCCCTGTTACCCTTTGTTACCCCTTGATACCCCTCTTACCCCTTGTTACCCTTTCTTCCCCCTTGTTTCCCCTGTTAACCCTTGTTACACCTGTTACCCCTGATCCCCTTCTTACCCCTGTCACATCTGTTACCGCTTGTTACCCATTGTTCCCTCTTGTTACCCTCTTTACCCGTTGTTACCCCTTGCTTGCCCTGTTACCCCTTGTTACCCTTTGTTACCCCTTGTTACCCCTGTTACCCCTTGTTCCCCTTGTCACCCATGTTACCCCTTTTTAGCCTTTGTTACCCCTTGTTACCCTGTTACACCTTGTTACCCCTCTTACTCCTGTTAACCATTGTTACCCCTTGTTACAATGGTAACAAGGGGTAACAGGGGTAATAAGGGGTAAGAAAGGGTAACAAGGGGTAACAGGGGAAACAAAGAGTAACAACGGGTAAAAGGGGTAACAAGAGGGAACAATGGGTAACAAGGGGTAACAGATATAACAAGGGTAAGAAGGGAATCAGGGGTAACAAGGGGTAAGAAAGGGTAACAAGGGGTAACAGGGGAAACAAAGGGGGAACAAGTGGTAACAAGGGGTAACAAAGGGTAACAAGGGGTAGCAGGGGTAACAAGGGGTAACAGGGGTAAGAAGGGGTAACAAAGGGTAACAAGGGGTAACAAAGGGTAACAAGGGGTAACAAAGGGTAACAAGGGGTAGCAGGGTTAACAAGGGGTAACAAGGGGTAACAGGGGTAATAAGGGGTAACAAAGGGTAACAGGGGGTAACAAAGGGTAACAGGGGTAACAAAGGGTAACAAGCGGTAACAAGGGGTAACAGGAGTAAGAAGTGGTAACAAAGGGTAACAAGGGGTAACAAGGGGTAACAAGGGGTAACAGGGGTAATAAGGGGTAACAGAGGGTAACAGGGGGTAACAAAGGGTAACAGGGGTAACAAGGGGTAACAAAGGGTAACAAGCGGTAACAGGGGTAACAAGGGGTAACAGGGGTAAGAAGTGGTAACAAAGGGTAAAAAGGGGTAACAAGGGGTGACAAAGGGTAACAAGGGGTAACAGGGGTAAAAAGGGGTAACAGGGGTAACAAAGGGTAACAAGGGGTAACAAAGGGTAACAAGGGGTAACAAAGGGTAACAAGGGGTAACAAGGGGAACAGGGGTAACAAGGGGTAACAGGGGGTACCAATGGGTAACAAGTGGTAACAAGGGGTGACAAAGGGTAACAAGGGGTAACAAAGGGTAACAAGGGGTAACAAGAGGAAAAGGGGTAACAAGGGGTAACAGGGGTAACAAAAAGGGTAACAAGGGGTAACAGAAGTAAGAAGGGGTAACAAACAAGGGGTAACAGGGGTAACAAAAAAGGTAAAAAGGGGTAACAAAGGGTAACAAGGGGTAACGAGGGGTAACAGGGGTAACAAGTGTTAACAGGGGGTGACAAGGGGTTACAGGGGTAACAAGGGGTAACAAAGGGTAACAAGGGGTAACAGGGATAACAAGAGGAACAGGGGTAACAAGGGGTAACAGGGGTGACAAAAAGGGGACCAAGGGGTAACATGGGTAACAAAAAGGGTAACAGAAGTAAGAAGGGGTAACAAACAAGGGGTAACAAGGGGTAACAGAGGTAACGGGGGTAACAAGTTGTAACAGAGGTAACTTGAGTAACAAGGGTAACAAGGGGTAACAGGGGTAACAACAGGTAACAAAGGGTAACAAGGGGTAAAAACGGGTAATCAAAGGGGTAACAAAGGGTAACAAGGGGAACAGGGGTAACAAGGGGAACAGGCGTAACAAGGGGTAACAAGGGGTAACAGAAAGGGTAAGAAGGGGTATCAGGGGTAACAGGGGTAACAGGGGTACTAAAGGGTAACAATGGGTAACAAGGGCTAACAGGGTAACAAGGGGTAACAAAGGGTAACAAGGGGTAACAAGGGGTAACAAAGGGTCACAAGGGTAACAGGGGTAACAAGTTGTAACAGGGGTCACAAGGGGAACAATGGGTAACAGGGGTAACAAGGGGAACAGGGGTAACAGGGGTAAGTAAGGGTAACAAGGGGTAACAAGGGTAACAGGGGTAAGAAGTTGTAACAGGGGTAACAAGCATTAACAAGGGGTAATAGGGGTAACAAAAAGGGTAACAAGGGGTAACAGAGGTAAGAAGGGGTAACAAGGGGTAACAGGGGTAACAAAAACGGTAACAAGGGGCATCCGGGGTAACAAAGGGTGACAAGGGGTAACAGGGGGTAACAGAGGTAACAAAGGGTGACAAGGGGTAAGAGAGGTAACAAGGGGAACAGGGGTAAGAGGGGTAACAAGAGGTAACTGGGGTAACAAGGGTTAACAAAGGGTAAAAAGGGGTAACAGGGGTAACAAGGGTAATAGGGGTATCAAGGGGTAACAAAGGGTAAAAAGGGGTAATAGGGGGAACAAGGGGGAACAAAGGGTAACAGGGGTAACAAGGGGTAACAGGGGTAACAAGGCGGAACAAAGGGTAACAAGGGGAACAGGGGTAACAAGGGGGACAGGGGTAACAAGGGGTAACAAAGGGTAACACAGGTTAACAGGGGTAACAAGGGGAACAGTGGTAACAAGGGGTAACAAGGGCTAACAGGGGGTAACAAGGTGTAAAAAGGGGTAACAGAGGTAACAAGGGGTAACAGGGGTATGAAGGGTAACAGGGGTAAGAATGGGTAACAGAGGTAACAAGGAGTAATAAAGCGTAACAACGGGTATCAGGAGAAACAAGGGGTAACAACGGGTAACCGGGGTAATCAGGGGAACAAGGGGTAACAGGGGTAGGAAGGGGTAACAGGGTTATCAAGGGGTAACAAAGGGTAACAAGTGGTAACTGGGGTAACAAGGGAAACAGGGGTAACAAGGCGTAACAAAGGGTAACAACGGGGAACAGGGGAAACAAGGGGGAACTGTGGGTAACAAGGGGTTACAGGGGGAACAAGGGGTAACGGGGGAAACAAGGAGTAACAAAGGGGAACAAAGGGTAACAAGGGGTAACAGGGGTGACAAGGGGAACAGGGGTAACAAGGGGTAACAGGGGTGACAAGGGGAACAGGGGTAACAAGGGGTAACAAAGGGTAACAAGGGTTCACAAGGGGTAAGAAGTGTAACAATGGGGAACAGAGGGTAACAGGGATAACTAGGGTAACCCAGGGAAAAAAGGGCTCACAAGGGTAATGAGGGAACAGGGGGAACTTAAATCTTAAATTATCTGTTAGGGTATTCACCGCTGGTATTTGGTTATTTTCCTCGCCACGGCAGCGAACAGATGATGGGGACCGGCTGCTCTCTTAAGTATTCAAAAACTATTTCGTTAATTTTTTTTTGTCACCGATAGGTGTCCAGCCTGACTCTATTTGTAACACACTATCCGTCACTGGCCGAGCTAGAAGTAGCTTTTCCAAAGCACGTTACCAACAATCATATGGCCTTTATGACGTCGCAAGAGCAACAGAGTGACCAACAGTGCCTTGAGGGAGGGGAAGGAGAGTCTATACCTTCAGTCACTTTCTTGTATCACGTGGTAAATGGCGCTGCTGGGAGAAGCTATGGGTTAAATGTGGCACGTCTGGCAGGAATTCCAAGTGAAATCCTTAACACCGCCGCCAAAAAATCACACGAATTGGAAAATCAAATCACGCATCGGCGGTAGGTAGTCTATGATTCATCTTTTGAATATTCCAAATTTGATATCCATAAGCAATTTCCTGCGCGGCCTTTGTAGAAGCAAGTGATGAAGATGTGATAGCGAGTTTATATAAGTGCCATGAGGGCGATGGCGGTGAAACAGCACTTATAAAGATGGTCGCATTCCTTTAAGGAAGCTTCGTTACGATTATTTACTCTCGTAACTTTTTTACAGCATGCCAATTTTTCTGAACTCTTAGTGAGTTGTTAAGGAATAGAAAAAAAATCGTTGTCAAGTGTATCCGTCCTCTAAAAGTAAAAGTCGCTTCAGCAAATTTCCTGTCGTAGTCGTGTAGTGACTACGAAGAATAGCACCAGAGAGTGTGATGCAAGAGCTCCCTACTGATTTTTTGAAGCTGTCTTTGCTGTTACCGTTGCGGTTTCTTAAACATATGTCACGCCGTCACATGGTTTCGAATCTCCTTCTGGGGGCTTTCCCTTTTCCCTCACTTCAGTTTCCAGCCTTAAATTTTTCTTATCTCTGGTTTATCTCAATATGAGAAGTGCTTGTATCACGATGATCAGTGACTTTCAGACGTTGAAAGGGTTCGTCTAACACGTATAGGATAATTTGAAGTTAGATTAGAATTTTAAAACCGATACTTGAACAGAACAGCTAAGAGTAGTTTAGTAAAAACTGTCTGGCTTGTGCTTTTATATTTTGCGATTTTCTACAAAGAAATCTAATAACTCCATGTCTTTAAAAAAAAAACCCTATAATTTGCCGTATCTTAGTCTAATGTTTATCACTGTTAACCATGAATTGGGTTATAAATTTATAACCCCCGCCTATTACGACATGTGCAAGTTTTTATGTCAGTTCTCTTTTTTTCTCTCTCTCTCCTTTCTCAGCTATATGAAGACTATTTTTCAAGACATTTGTTCAAGCTCTTCAGTGACTCCTGAATCTATTAAGAACTTGATGGACTCTTTGACAACGTTTGCACCTGGTTAACACGAACAATCAGTTACTCCTGTAATTTTAACTTATAGAAATAGAGAAGCCCTTTAGACAGTATTTAGTTATCAAGGTTCATTGAATATGAGTGAGTAAAAGCAATGTACAGTAGTATCCCGATTTCTCGAACACTCGGTTTTCGAAATTCCCGATAACTCGAACCAAACCGGACGTCCATTTACCACTCAAACGCTGAAATCTTACCCCAGATTTTTCAAGCCTGCTGATACTTTGAACCTCGTACTCGCTTTTCCCCTGGTGGTTCGAAAAATAAATAATGTCGCGAGGATAGGGTCAGTGCACTCAGTCATTAAAATACTCTAAACGTTTCTTGTCTGATGGGTGCATTGCACTCCCGAACCCCTTCCCTCTCCTCCCTGGATCCGCCACTGAGTGTCTAGCACGTAAATACACGCAGATACTCGCATACAAAACACACAGATAATGTTAGTATTATCGTAGTACCTGGGAGCATAAGTAATAAATAGTTTGTCAACCTTAAGAAATAAAACAAGTTGACCTAGATCAAGACGTTATATGGTAGCAAAGAAACGGGGCTGTAGCGTCAATCTGGAGTGGCAGATGGGGGTACTAACAAGTTGACAGTGGAAACCACAAACCCTTACAGGGGTTCATCTTTCCCATCATCTCGAAGAAGAAAAGCAAAATTCTCTTTTGAAAAAGTCAGAACACGACTGCATTTACATGTTCAAGAATTCAGGACTTTCGTGACGCTTTATATGACGTAATTAATAAGCTTTAAGGTCACGCGATCATGCACTCCCGCTACGCTCTGAGTCAGACTTATGGAGGGGAATACTGGACAAAATGTTATTGGATCGTACCATAAGGTGCGTTATATCGAATTTGCCTGTATACTGTCTTACCGTCCCATCTATGCTGTTATGTCGTACTCGGTGATGTTGTATTGTAACCGGAACAATGTATTATCGTACTCGGTAACCTTATATCGTAACCAGAATAGTATTGTATCGTACCTCAATGCTGATGTATCGTACCCGGTAGCCATGCATCGTAACTTGTATGCTGTTGTTTCGAACTCAGTAACCTGATATCGTAACCTGAATGATATTGTATCGTACCCGGTAAACTTATCTCGTAACGTGAATGATTTTTTATCGTACCCGGTAACCATAGATTGTATCCAGGAAATTGTTACGTCGTACACCACGACCGTATATTATAGCCGGGATGCTGTTATGTCTTACCCGATAGCATCATGTCGAGCTTTCTTTCAAGTCGTACAAGGTGAAATTATGCAACATGGTGAGCAGCTTTCCAATTTGTCTAGTTAGTTACTTCATAAATGATTATTATAGTGAACCGTATATGTATATTGAGCTTGCTATCATAGGGCGCTTTTAATATATCATTTGTTGCTTTTAATATACGATGTCATTGGAGTACGATACAATACTATTCTGGTTACGATATAAGGTTACCGAGTACGATAATACATTGTTCCGGTTACAATACAACATCACCGAGTACGACAAAACAGTATACAGGGTACGGTAAGACAGTATACAGGCAAATTCGATATAATGCACCTTATGGTACGATCCAATAACATTCTTGTCCAGTATTCCCCTCCATACAGACTCACTGTTTTGATTTAAGTATGGTTGGCCATTCTGAGATTCTGTTGTCAAAGTGTGCGCAGTTTCGAGAGCAAGGTGAATTCATTGATGTTTATTTAAAAGTGGGTGGAGAAGTTTTCTCAGCTCATCGCATTGTGCTCGCTGCCAGTAGCGATTATTTCGACGCCATGTTTGCTCATGGAATGAAAGAGTCGAACCAGGAAGTGATCGAACTCAAAGATGAAAGCATTCCAGCAGCTGCCTTGAAGATCGTGTTGGATTCCATCTACAGCGGCGATCTTCAAGTCAATGATGAAAACGTATTTGATATTCTTGTCGCAGCCGATCACCTCCAAGTTACAAGTGTTGTTCAACAGTGTTGTGAGTACTTGAAAACCCAGTTTGTTCAGCTTCGATTTGATGTGCAGACATATTGTCAGATCTGCACCATTGCAGATCGGCACGGACTGATAGACCTACAAGAAGCTACACAACTCAAGATGGCGTCAATGTACAAGGACGTTTGTAGGAATGAAGAATTCTTGTCCCATATTGACGCTAATCAATATTCTAACCTTCTCAACCGAGATGACCTCAGTGCTCCTTCAGAGACATTTGTCTTCAAATCCGTGATGCAGTGGATCAAGTACAAGAAGGAAGAGAGGATGCCAGTCGCGGCTAAAGTCATCGGAGCGGTTCGACTGGGGTTGGTGGACATCAAAGAAGTCATCCGAGAACTGAACACAGAGGAGATGCAACGATTTCCAGAGATTCATTTACTTTTGCACGAATCACTTCTGCATACTTGCATGCCATCTGTGAGTTCGAAGTTTGCAGTAGAGAAATCCAAACTGCGTTCCACGAGTCAGGTATGTGAAGCTTTTAACACAGTTATTTGAATGTAACTAAAAATATGCCCCTTTCAAATAGAATCAAACTGATATTGCTTTTCACTTGGGTGAACATGTACGTGATTGAATTAATCCATAGAAACAAGCATTTCCCTCCTAAAAGCCGCATGGCTCTCAACCTGTCCGATATGAAAGCTACAACAAGGGACAAAAGTGTTAAGACACTTCTGTAACATGGCCCCTTTTTGCATAGTGAACATACCTATCCCCTTTCCCTGTTTACCCCCACTTCCTCCCCCAAAATCAATGTTGTATTCTAGACCCTCAAGTCTTTCTTTTACTTCAAACAACATTGATTCGGGGGTGGGGGATTTACGGCGTTTGAATAGAATGAAGTAATAAATGAATGAAATTGTTGATAAAAGCACCCGTTTCAGTTAGACAAGTGTGTCAACAACCTCGTTCCCAGGAATTTCGCCTACCCAGGGAGCGAGGTTGGTGTGTCAACTACTTTTGTCCCTGATTGTAGTATAAGACCATGGCCAATTAATTCAGGGGCACCCAATGACGATTTCCTCCTAAATACGTTGAAAACACTTTTCAGGCTATCCATAGTACTCTTAGATCTCTAGAAATGTATTCTAAGCGGTGCTATAAAATTGGTCATCCTAGGGGACTTTGACTTTTTTCGAAATTACAAGAGCTTCAGTATTATTTTCCCGAAAATTTTAGACGCAATTTATATTTTAACGAATGTGAGAATTTTTCTGATTCCTATCTAAATCACACTTTTGAATCCGAAAATTTGAGGTTTCCTTTTTTACGAAAAACAGCATTATCTTGGGGAGTGAAATGAGAAAAATTAATCTTCAGAAAATCTTAGGAAATTTATTAGATAAGTTTCGAAAATTGTACATGAATGGAACGGTCATCTAGAAATTTGTAGCCGCCCTCAAGCAATAGAAAATTCTAGGCAATATTTGCCTCTCCGAATAGATATTTTACAGAAAACAGTCGTTGGATGCCCATGTTAATTAAAATTAATGTTCCCTATGCTTGAGACAACTTATCCAACAAATGTTAAAAACGCCCAGCGAACCGTAACCAGCTCTCGCCGACACAGTGTAATTATTTGAAATTATAACAAACTTCTTTTGTTCGTTTGGCGAATTCCGGCATGTACTGTATATTCAATAAAATTTAGAGATGAAACAGCCGTGTTAGAAAGAAGTAGTCGAAGGGGGTAAAATTGGAATTGGGATTTGCCATATTTTTAAGATTGGAACTGAATAGGATTTTGGTACATGTACAGATCAAACCCCGTCGAAACGGACTCTTCGAGACTCTGAAGGGACCATAGAAAGTGTCCATGTTTAGCCGGTTAAATAGCCTGCAGTGCAGGCGTATTTTGGGTGGGCGAAACCTTGTTCGTGTTCGTAATGTTGTTGTAGCCGCCATCTTTATGACAGTGGAAGATTGGGGGGAGTAGAAATAGTAACCCGTGCGGCGAACTCAAAGAAAACGCCTGCACTGCAGGCTACCGGTTAAATTTAGAGAAAATGTAAGGGCTTTGTCTCCCCAGGGACAAACCAAACTGTCCGTATTAAGCGGGTGTCTGTAAAGCGGGGTTTGATTGTTTATGTCAGTATAATTGCAGACGTCTCCTACTTCCTTTGTCGCTCAAGGAAAACATCTGCACGCAGGCTATACTAGAATTTGACCACGCATCTTTGCCACTGGGAATGGGATTTGAGGCAAAAGTCGAATGGTACTCTAGAATTTGAACAAAATTTGGGTTGGAAAAAGGGACTTGTGAACCACCCCACCACCCCCTTCGCCCCTTTTCCCCTCCGGTGTGCTTCTTAGTAGAAGACACAGAAATAAATATTATCTTGACTTGTCTTGACCTTCAAATGGTCATCTCAAAACGACGAATTAACTAGCAACAATAATTATTGTTGCATTAAAAACCCACACCACTGCTGTTTTTGGCTTTCCCCCAATGCTGGATTGGACGTCCAAAACGGACGCAAGAGAGGATAAATGAGGAGACCCAACTAAGTAATCTTTAACTTTCTCTTCAGCTCCTTGTTGCTGTTTCTCCTGGACAAAATATTGACTACTTTGATTTTGATCTTAAAATCTGGAAGCCACTGGGAATGTCAGGGCCAGGAGGCAGACCTATAAGAACATCACATTACTGTGCAGAGACAGTTGGTAATACTTTGTACGTTGCCGAAGGTCGCCCAATTAACGCTAAGACTGATTTTATTTCTTGTTATGACTTAGAAAGAAATGTGTGGAAAACACACCCGCACTCTGTTGGAGTAATCAGCAGTATGTGTACTGTAGGAGACTACGTGTATACATTTGGTTTTGATTGTCAAAAGCCTCCTCAGCGGTATAGCTTGTCTGAGGGTCAATGGCAGAGTTTTGCAAACGTCAAGGGTACGGGGGAGATGTACTTCTACAATAGTGGAGCCACAGCACTTCATTCTGATGTTTTTGTTCTTTATGGAAAAGGATTTTTTAAAAACAGTTGGTTAGTGCGAAATGCCTCCCTACATTGTTTTGATCACGTGAGAAACGTGTGGGAAGAAAAAGCATCAACCTGCCACCCACATTTTGGGTCCAGTCTTTTTGTAGTGAACGGTAAACTCTACGTAGCAGGGGGTAAAGTTAATGCTAATTACGACGGTTCACCCTATGGTAACCCTGCACCAGTGGAAGTGTATGATGAAGAAAACAACAAGTGGTCGGTTGTTGACCAAAAACATATTCCAGAAAACAACCTTGGTGCAGTGGAAGTAGATGGGAGGGTTTATTTCATCATCAATAAATTTCCAATTGACAGTGGTATAAGAATCCCACCAGGGGAGGTGTATCCTGTTTCCTTGCACAGGTGGGAAAAACTAGGGAACATATCCTGGACGGCCGCCCTCTGTTATGCACCAATAAAAAAAAGAGCTTAAAAACAGGGTAACGATCATTTTGGTTTTAAATATTGCACTTCCTGCCATCCATCGATTTCAACAAATCTACAGCCAGAGTCTCTAACAGAGTCTCCGTGTTTCTTTCAGCTACCCCTTAACATGTTTTGACGGTTTTCCCAGATAAACGTTTTAAAACAATCAATGTGTCTCAATGAGGAATATAAGGAGCTGCAGCCATATATAATTTAATTAATGGACCAAAAAGTATTTGTAGATAAGGAAAAACACAATGTTTTTCAGTGTCACAGATATTGTAAATACTTAAATGATAACGAGGACTCTTGGTTTCTGGATGCGCGACGTTAACAAGCTAATTACATTAGAGACTTTAGCCGTTCGAGGACGAGGACGACTACATGGCGGAGATTTAGCTTAATATAAAATGTTTTCGCTTATTCTAAAGAACTAAAAAGCCTAGGAAAGCTTCATTGCCCACTTTCTTTTCGTCAGAAACCTTAGCACGATTATTTTTATTGAAGGAGGTCAAGCCTTCTCCCGATCGAACTGAACGATAAAACTTCTAACATTCGAAAACTTGTTTCCGCCACTATGTATGACATTCTGGCTAATACCCGCTGTAGAATGACGACGATTATCAGGTATTCGCACATTCTCGTCCCCAGAGCCACTTGGCTTAATTTGTAACCGACCAGTGGCGAGCCCCTCGTTTCCCGACCACATGACCAAGAAACGACGGGCTCTGGAGACGAGAATGGTATTCCTGCTCAAATAACACAGCTTCAAGCGTCATGCGCACAACTTAGAACTCGCAGTCGTCCTCGTCTTACAATCCAAAGGTCTCTATTATCAACTGGTTTTAGTACTAGTGCAATTACCTAATAAGTCAATATCCGTGTGTTTCATGCATTTGTCGTGAGGACTTCTAAAGTTACCGGAAGAATTTTCTCAATAAAAACTGCCTGGCAATTTTTTTGTCTTGGAATATGCATTCATTGGTAATCTGGGGTCACGGAATATGAGACTCGAGAAGGAACGGTTGCTAAAGGGAACGCTGAACGAGGACAATTAGAGACGATTGAGACGCTAAGAGCGCATGAGAGCTGCGATCAAATGAGAGTATTGATCAAGTGAGAAGAAGGTGAAAATCAGTGTTCTTTTGAACTCGCTAAGAACCCAAACATGAGGTTTAAAGAATATCGAATCCGTTCAACAACAGCCAGTGAAGTTTTACACAAACTTGCCAGTTGTCGTTGACTATTCTTTGTCGAAAAATCAATTAGATATTATACAAGTCGGAAGGGAGAGGAGCGACGACTAGCTACGACTGGAAATACGTCTGCGGTTCGCAGGCTAAACAACTATTGCCTTTTTTATTATTTCGCTTCACATTAACATATAACGTTTCTAGGACATAAAAGTTGACTTCTGCGAAATTGTTTTAATAGTTTGGAACTGACATTCCGGCTCTCAGGGGGTCTTCCTTGAGGCTCTAAGTCCCCATGGATTCAGCTATGGATGGCCATTTTCCACCATCTTTTGACAGATTGTACCCATGCAGTCTCGAGCACAGGGCGAATTCATTGACGTATGTTCGAAAGTGAATAAAGAAGTTTTCTCAGCTCATCGCATTGTGCTCGCAGCAAGCAGCGATCATTTTCACGCTATGTTTGCTCATGGCATGAATGAGTCGCTAAAGTTCAATAGTAGACTTTAGCAAGTGCTACATTTACAATAGTTGAACAACAATGTTTCATTCTAAAGAGTTTGTTTTTGAATAAAAACTTGGTTGGTCGGTGCAGAATACCTTGCTACGTTGTGTTAACCCAGTGCGAAATGTGTAAGGAGAAAAGTCATAAACCTGTCACCCTCATTTGGGTCCGCTCCTTTTTTGTTGAACAGTCGACTCATCTCTTCGTAGAGGAAGCCAGGGTATGATTTCACTGAACCTGGCAGCCGGCCATGTGGAAAACCTGCATCTGTGGCGGTTTATGATGAAGGTAACAATACATTTTCTGATGTTATATAAAAACAGAAAAATGTTTCCCAAAACAACCTTGGTGCTGTGAGATAAAGGGGAGGAATTAATTTCTTCATGAATAAATTAGAGTAAGAATCCCTCCAGACTTGTTAATTCCAGGCAGGTACAGTACAGGGACGGCCAGTTTGCCCCAAAATATCAAACACAAACACAAGAAGGAACAGAGGATGACAGTCGCGGCTAAAGTCATCGGAGCGGTTCGACTGGGGTTGGTGGACATCAAAGAAGTCATCCGAGAACTGAACACAGATTAAGAGGAGATCGATGCAACGATTTCCAGAGATTCATTTACTTTTGCACGAATCACTTCTGCATACTTGCATGCCATCTGTGAGTTCGAAGTTTGCAGTAGAGAAATCCAAACTGCGTTCCACGAATCAGGTATGTGAAGCTTTTATCACACAGTTATTTGAATGTAACTAAAAACATGCCCCTTTCAAATAGAATCAAACTGATATTGCTTTTCACTCGGGTGAACATGTACGTGATTGAATTAATCCACAGAAACAAGCATTTCCCTCCTAAAAGCCGCATGACTCTCAACCTGTCCGATATGAAAGCTACAACAAGGGACAAAAGTGTTAAGACACTTCTGTAACATGGCCCCTTTTTGCATAGTGAACATACCTATCCCCTTTCCCTGTTTACCCCCACTCCCTCCCCCAAAATCAGTGTTGTATTCTAGACCCTCAAGTCTTTCTTTTACTTCAAACAACATTGATTCGGGGGTGGGGGATTTACGGCGTTTGAATAGAATGAAGTAATAAATGAATGAAATTGTTGATAAAAGCACCCGTTTCAGTTAGACAAGTGTGTCAACAACCTCGTTCCCAGGAATTTCGCCTACCCAGGGAGCGAGGTTGGTGTGTCAACTACTTTTGTCCCTGATTGTAGTATAAGACCATGGCCAATTAATTCAGGGGCACCCAATGACGATTTCCTCCTAAATACGTTGAAAACACTTTTCAGGCTATCCATAGTACTCTTAGATCTCTAGAAATGTATTCTAAGCGGTGCTATAAAATTGGTCATCCTAGGGGACTTTGACTTTTTTCGAAATTACAAGAGCTTCAGTATTATTTTCCCGAAAATTTTAGACGCAATTTATATTTTAACGAATGTGAGAATTTTTCTCATTCCTATCTAAATCACACTTTTGAATCCGAAAGTTTGAGGTTTCCTTTTTTACGAAAAACAGCATTATCTTGGGGAGTGAAATGAGAAAAATTAATCTTCAGAAAATCTTAGGAAATTTATTAGATAAGTTTCGAAAATTGTACATGAATGGAACGGTCATCTAGAAATTTGTAGCCGCCCTCAAGCAATAGAAAATTCTAGGCAATATTTGCCTCTCCGAATAGATATTTTACAGAAAACAGTCGTTGGATGCCCATGTTAATTAAAATTAATGTTCCCTATGCTTGAGACAACTTATCCAACAAATGTTAAAAACGCCCAGCGAATCGTAACCAGCTCTCGCCGACACAGTGTAATTATTTGAAATTGTAACAAACTTCTTTTGTTCGTTTGGCGAATTCCGGCATGTACTGTATATTCAATAAAATTTAGAGATGAAACAGCCGTGTTAGAAAGAAGTAGTCGAAGGGGGTAAAATTGGAATTGGGATTTGCCGTATTTTTAAGATTGGAACTGAATAGGATTTTGGTACATGTACAGATCAAACCCCGTCGAAACGGACTCTTCGAGACTCTGAAGGGACCATAGAAAGTGTCCATGTTTAGCCGGTTAAATAGCCGGCAGTGCAGGCGTATTTTGGGTGGGCGAAACCTTGTTCGTGTTCGTAATGTTGTTGTAGCCGCCATCTTTATGACAGTGGAAGATTGGGGGGAGTAGAAATAGTAACCCGTGCGGCGAACTCAAAGAAAACGCCTGCACTGCAGGCTACCGGTTAAATTTAGAGAAAATGTAAGGGCTTTGTCTCCCCAGGGACAAACCAAACTGTCCGTATTAAGCGGGTGTCTGTAAAGCGGGGTTTGATTGTTTATGTCAGTATAATTGCAGACGTCTCCTACTTCCTTTGTCGCTCAAGGAAAACATCTGCACGCAGGCTATACTAGAATTTGACCACGCATCTTTGCCACTGGGAATGGGATTTGAGGCAAAAGTCGAATGGTACTCTGGAATTTGAACAAAATTTGGGTTGGAAAAAGGGACTTGTGAACCACCCCACCACCCCCTTCGCCCCTTTTCCCCTCCGGTGTGCTTCTTAGTAGAAGACACAGAAATAAATATTATCTTGACTTGTCTTGACCTTCAAATGGTCATCTCAAAACGACGAATTAACTAGCAACAATAATTATTGTTGCATTAAAAACCCACACCACTGCTGTTTTTGGCTTTCCCCCAATGCTGGATTGGACGTCCAAAACGGAAGCAAGAGAGGATAAATGAGGAGACCCAACTAAGTAATCTTTAACTTTCTCTTCAGCTCCTTGTTGCTGTTTCTCCTGGACAAAATATTGACTACTTTGATTTTGATCTTAAAATCTGGAAGCCGCTGGGAATGTCAGGGCCAGGAGGCAGACCTGCAAGAACATCACATTACTGTGCAGAGACAGTTGGTAATACTTTGTATGTTGCCGAAGGTCGCCCAAATAACGCTAAGACTGATTTTATTTCTTGTTATGACTTAGAAAGAAATGTGTGGAAAACACACCCGCACTCTGTTGGAGTAATCAGCAGTATGTGTACTGTAGGAGACTACTTGTATACATTTGGTTTTGATTGTCAAAAGCCTCCTCAGCGGTATAGCTTGGCTGAGGGTCATTCTGATGTTTTTGTTCTTTATGGAAAAGGATTTTTTAAAAACAGTTGGTTAGTGCGAAATGCCTCCCTACATTGTTTTGATCACGTGAGAAACGTGTGGGAAGAAAAAGCATCAACCTGCCACCCACATTTTGGGTCCAGTCTTTTTGTAGTGAACGGTAAACTCTACGTAGCAGGGGGTAAAGTTAATGCTAATTACGACGGTTCACCCTATGGTAACCCTGCACCAGTGGAAGTGTATGATGAAGAAAACAACAAGTGGTCGGTTGTTGACCAAAAACATATTCCAGAAAACAACCTTGGTGCAGTGGAAGTAGATGGGAGGGTTTATTTCATCATCAATAAATTTCCAATTGACAGTGGTATAAGAATCCCACCAGGGGAGGTGTATCCTGTTTCCTTGCACAAGTGGGAAAAACTAGGGAACATATGCTGGACGGCCGCCCTCTGTTATTCACCAATAAAAAAAAAGAGCTTAAAAACAGGGTAACGATCATTTTGCGTTTTAAATAACCGACTTAATGTACATTTTCACTTCTTGCCATCCATCGATTCCTGAGGACAAACCAACCGACTCAATTCAACAAATTTACAGCCAGAGTCTCTAACAGAGTCTCCGTGTTTCTTTCAGAATACCCCTTAACGTGTTTTGACGGTTTTCCTAAAAAGAGAAAAAAATCACAATTCCTTAGTGGCAAGGACCTAGATAAACGTTTTAAAACAATCAATGTGTCTTAATGAGGAATGTAAGGAGCTGCACCCATATATAACTTAATTAATGGACCAAAGAGTATTTGTAGATAAGGAAAAACACAATGTTTTTCAGTGTCACAGATATTGTAAATACTTAAATGATAACGAGAACTCTTGGTTTCTGGATCGGCGCGACGTTAACAAGCTAATTACATCAGAGACTTTAGATTCGAAGACGAGAACGACTACATGGTGGAGATTTTGGCTATAAAAAGATTTCGCGTATTCTCAAGAACTAAAAAAACCTCGGAAAGCTTCATTGCTCACTTTCTTTTCATCAGAAACCTTAGCACGATTACTTTTATTGAAGGAAGTTAAGCCCTCTCTCGATCGAACTGAATGATAAAACTTCTAACATTCGAAGACTTGTTTCCGCCACTATGTATGACATTCTTGCTAAACCCACTGTAGAATGACGACGATTGTCAGGTATTCCCGCTCAAATGACACAGCTTCAAGCATGCGCACAACTTAGAACTCGTAGTCGCCCTTGTCTTACATTCTAAAGGTCTCCATTATCAACTGGCTTTAGTACGAGTACAGTTACCTAATAAGTTAATATCCGTGTGTTTCATGCATTTGTCGTGAGGACTTCTAGAGTTACCTGAAGAATTTTCTCAATAAAAAGTGCTTGGCCATTTTTTTGTCTTGGATGCATTCATTGTTAATCTGGGGTGAATTGTGAGACTCGAGAAGGAACGGTGGAGATCGCGCGTCTTTTTTTCGCTTGGCTTGCTTTATTTTTCGACTTCCCTACTATTTGAGAGCCTGGCACAGGCCACAAGAAAAGCGACGAGATAAAGGAACTGTGGGGTTTCACTATAAAAAAACTAAGTTTATCCCTTGTTTTGTTCATGCTTCTGAAGTTTATTTCATTTTCTATGTCCTTCAGGTAAACTTTTTTTTGTGTAGTTTCAGGCTGTTTCAGGGACTGTGAATCTCATATTTATATCAAACAAGGACGACACCCCGTGATAGATAATCTTTTGCCCGAAAACGAGCAATTTTTACCAAATGATACAGACATGAATGTAAGTCAATAATATTTAATAACATGGCTCTGACGTGGTTTGTTGCCTGCGAAGCAGAGTCATTTGATATCGAAAACTCCTCGATATCCGCGGAACCAACAATTCCGGTACGAACCAGGGCCAGGGTGTGAATCTTTTCATCTTCATAGCATTCTTTTACTAAGGCAAGTTGGAGATCTACTGATTGAACGCCGGGTAATCTCACGTGTATGAGTAAAGTTATGGTTATTAGACATAACTGTTAAGCGATATGTTACTACGGACCTAACTTAAGATACCCCGTTTCTATCATTCTCGGGTAAGGGACCTGTTTCTCCTGTGTTAATATATACTCTAGGGGACCATGTTTTGCTAATCATTGTTTTAAGTATTATCACTCTACCACGTAGCTTTGCCGTTTTTCTTGGGGTAGGAGGCAGTTTACCCGCCTTTATGGTTACTGTATGAGTAATGTACTACACTACCTGTACACCGAAAAAGGTTTATTGACCAACTATTATAGACCATCAAGAATATCACCCAAGTAAGCATAAATTCAGTTCTTCAGCTCTTTTCCCTTTCAACGTTTACTGTCACTTATGGCGAACTGCAAGGTAGTCTAATGGCTGGATAGCACTTGTTCGCCACCAAACGATTTCACGGACGTCGTAAATGTAAGGAGAAAACGAACGAAAAACAGAGCGTAGGAGCGAGCTGCAGTTCGCGAGCAGCTTAACCACCCATATCCCGGCTGACAACATGTTATAAGGTAGTAAATGCTGTTGTAGAAACTATGTTTATTTTAAAACCAGCTGAATGACCCCACCCCACACAGGTTGCCTTGATTGTAATTCTGGCCCAGACCGGCTCTTATGTTCCAGCCGAGGAGGCGAAAGTTGGAGTTTTGGACGCGGTTTTTACCAGGTATTATAAGTACAAATAATAGAGAACAAATGAAAGGCTCAAATTTACCTCACATTCTTATTTTATTGGTTTTGTCAGTCCTTTCTGGTGCGGCTTTAATGACAGTTGATAGGTAGTACTCTACTGTTAGGAGTCATTCTCCAATTATAGCGAATGAAACAGTTGTCACTGCATGGTTTCCAGGATGGGAGCTTCAGACAGCATTTACAAAGGGCAGAGTACGTTTATGGTCGAACTTCAGGTACGTTGTACTTACATACATTTCACCTTACTACAACTAAAATCGCCAAGAGAAACAAAGAACTGTTGGGTCTTGCCAAACCTGACAAAAGGTTCAAAAGGTTGCACGAGTCCTCGTACTGTAGTTTTGAGGTGAAGGTGAATAGTTCTTGAGTTCTATTAATGATTATCGCGTCGTTACTTTGCGAACGTATTACGAACATTAAGAATGGAGAAAAGTAAGATGTTTTGTAGTTATGTTTTGGCAAACTAACAATAAAGTAGGAGACTTGTTGTTGAGAATGCTAGCTGATTGTAAACTTGATTCTCTTCCGTTTTAGGAAACATCGGACATTATTGACCAGGCCACTCCAAAGTCACTGGTTATCTTGGATGAGCTGGGCCGGGGTACTAGTACCCATGATGGGACGGCCATTGTTTATGCTACGCTGCAGCACTTTATTAGTAAGGTATGTGTTCTAGACGTTAATTCCGTGTTCTGATCTTGCTGACATTGTACTCCAATCTCACCAGGGAGAGGTCGGTAGACGTTCTATCAAATGCTATCCATTACTCAGTCTAGTGTACGAGAGATAAACCGGATCTTTTTCATGCAAGTCAAGAGATCGTTTAAGGCTTGGAAATCTTAAATTATATGTTAGGGTATTCACCGCTTGTATTTGGTTATTTTCCTCGCCACGGCAGCGAGCAGATAATGGGGTGCTTTCTTAAGCATTCAAAAACGAGTTCGTCAATTTTTTTTTCTCACTGGTAGGTGTCCAGCCTGACTCTATTTGTAACACACTAGCCGTCACTGGCCCAGCTGGAAGTAGCCTTTCCAAAGCACGTTTCCAACAACCATATGGCCTTTATGACGTCACAAGAGCAACAGAGTGACCAACAGTGCCCTGAGGGAGGGGAGGGAGACCCTATCCCTTCAGTCACTTTCTTGTATCATGTGGTAAATGGCGCTGCTGGGAGAAGCTATGGGTTGAATGTGGCACGTCTGGCAGGAATTCCAAGTGAAATCCTTAACACGGCCGCCAAAAAATCACACGAACTGGAAAATCAAATCACCCATCGGCGGTAGGTAGTCTATGATTCATCTTATGACGTCCAATTTTGATATCCATAAGTAGTTTCCCGCGCATTTGTAGAAGGAAGTGATGAAGATGTGATAGCGAGTTTATATAAGTGCCATGAGGGCGATGGCGGTGAAACAGCACTTAAAAGTTAGTCGCATTCTTTTAAGGAAGCTTCACTACGATTATTTACTCTCGTAACTTTTTTACAGCATGCCAATTTTTCTGAACTCGTTGTCGCGTGTTTCCGTCCTCTAAAAGTAAAAGTCGCTTCAGCAAATTTCCCGTCGTAGTCGTGTAGTGACCTACAAAGAAAAGCACCAAAAAGTATGATGCAAGAGCTGCCTACCGATTTTTTGAAGCTGTCGTTGCTGTTACCGTTGCGGTTGCTTAATCATATGTCACGCCGTCACATGGTTTCGAATCTCCTTCTGGAGGCTTTCCCTTTTCCCTCACTTCAGTTTCCAGCCTTACATTTTTTCTTATCTCTGGTTTATCTCAATATGAGAAGTGTTTGTATCACGATGATCAGTGACTTTCAGACGTTGAAAGGGTTCGTCTAACACCTATAGGATAATTTGAGGTTAGATTAAAATTTTAAAACCGATACTGGAATAGAACAGCTAAGAGTAGTTTAGTCAAAATTGTCTGGCTTGTGTTTTTATATTTAGCGATTTTCTATTAAGAAATCTAATAACTCCATGTCTTTTAAAAAAAACCCTATAATTTACCGTATCTTAGTCTAATGTTTATAACTGTTAACCATGAATTGGGTTATAAATTTATACCCCCCCTATTACGACATGTGCAAGTTTTTATGTCAGTTCTCTTTTTTCTCCCTCTCTCTCCTTTCTCAGCTATATGAAGAGTATTTTTCAAGACATTTGTTCAAGCTCGATCATTAGTGACTACTGAATCTATTAGGAACTTGAGGGACTCTTTGACAACGTTTGCACCTGGTTAACACGAACAATCAGTTACTCCTGTAATTTTAACTTACAGAAATAGAGAAGCCCTTTACACAGTATTTAGTTATCAAGGTTCATTGAATATGGGGGAGTAAAAGCAATGTACAGTAGTATCCCGATTTCTCGAACACTCGGTTTTCGAAATTCCGGATAACTCGAACCAAACCCTACGTCCATTTACCACTCAAACGCTGAAATCTTACCCCAGATTTTTCAAGCCTGCTGATACTTTGAACCTCGTACTTGCTTTTCCCCTGGTGGTTCGAGAAATTGGAATTCCACTGGAGATCTTTTTTTCGTTTGTGATAAGTGTAAATAATGTCGCGAGGATAGAGTCAGTGCACTCAGTCATTAAAATACTCTAAACGTTTCTTGTCTGATGGGTGCATTGCACTCCCGAACCCCTTCCCTCTCCTCCCTGGATCCGCCACTGAGTGTCTAGCGCCTAAATACACGCAGATACTCGCATACAAAACACACAGATAATGTTAGTATTATCGTACCACCTGGGAGCATTAGTAATAAATAGTTTGTCAACCTTAAGAAATAAAACAAGTTGACCTAGATCAAGACGTTATATGGTAGAAAAGAAACGGGTGTAGCGTCAATCTGGAGTGGCGGATGGGGGTACTAACAAGTTGACAATGGAAACCACAAACCCTTACAGAGGTTCATCTTTCCCATCAACTCAGAGAAGAAAAGCAAAATTCTCTTTTGAAAAAGTCAAAACAATACCACATTTGCATGTTCATGAATTCAGGACTTTCGTGACGCTTTATATGACGTAATTAATAAAATTTAAGGTCACGCGATCATACACTCCCGCTATGCTGATTTAAGTATGGTTGGCCATTGTGAGATTCTGTTGTCAAAGTGTGCGCAGTTTCGAGAGCAAGGTGAATTCATTGATGTTTATTTAAAAGTGCGTGAAGAAGTTTTCTCAGCTCATCGCATTGTGCTCGCTGCCAGTAGCGATTATTTCCACGCCATGTTTGCTCATGGAATGAAAGAGTCGAACCAGGAAGTGATCGAACTCAAAGATGAAAGCATTTCAGCAGCTGTCTTTAAGATCGTGTTGGATTCCATCTACAGCGGAGATCTTCAAGTCAATGATGAAAACGTACTTGATGTACTTGTCGCAGCCGATCACCTCCAAGTTACAAGTGTTGTTCAACATTGTTGTGATTACTTGCAAACCCAGTTTGTTCAGCTTCGATTTGATGTGCAAACGTATAGTCAAATCTGCACAATTGCCGATCGACACGGTCTGAAAGACCTACAGGAAGCTACCCAATGTAAGATGGCCTCCATGTACAAAGAGATCTGTGAAAGTGAAGAGTTCTTGTTCCAAATGGACGCAGATCAATTATTGTGTCTTCTTAGTCGAGATGACCTCAGTGTTCCTTCAGAGACGTTTGTCTTCACATCCGTGATGCAGTGGATCAAACACAAGAAGGAAGAAAGGATGACAGTCGCGGCTAAAGTCATCGGAGGGGTTCGACTTGGGTTGGTGGACATCAAAGCAGTCATCCGAGAACTGAACACAGAGGAGATGCAACGAGTTCCAGAGATTCATTTACTTTTGCACGAATCACTTCTGCATACTTGCATGCCATCTGTGAGTTCGAAGTTTGCAGTAGAGAAATCCAAACTGCGTTCCACGAGTCAGGTATGTGAAGCTTTTATCATACAGTTATTTGAATGTAACTAAAAAAAATGCCCCTTTCAAATAGAATCAAACTGATATTGCTTTGCGCTTGGGTGAACATGTACGTGATTGAATCAATCCATAAAACAAGCATTTCCCACCTAAAAGCCGCATGGCTCTCAACCTGTCCGATATGGAAGCTACAACAAGGGACAAAAGTGTTAAGACATTTCTGTAAAATGGCCCCTTTTTGCATTGTGGACATACCTATCCCCTTCCCCTGTGTACCCCCACCCCCTTCCCGCAAAAGCGATGTTGTATTTTAGACCCTCAAGTCTTTCTTTTACTTCAAACAACATTGATTCGGGGGTTGGGGGATTTACGGCGTTTGAATAGAAGGAAATAATAAATGAATGAAATTGTTGATAAAAGCACCCGTTTCAGTTAGACAAGTGTGCCAACTACTTTTGTCCCTGATTGTAGTATAAGAGCATGGCCAATTATTTCAGGGGTTCCAAATGACGATTTCCTCCTAAATACGTTGAAAACACTCTTCAGGCTATCCAGAGTACTCTTAGATCCCTAGAAATGTATTCTTAAGCGGTGCTATAAAATTGGTCATCCTAGGGGACTTTGACTTTTTTCGAAATTACAAGAGCTTCAGTATTATTTTCCCGAAAATTTTAGACGCAATTTATATTTTAACGAATGTGAGAATTTTTCTCATTCCTATCTAAATCACACTTTTGAATTCGAAACTTTTAGGTTTCCTTTTTTTACGAAGAACAGCATTACTTGGGGAGTGAAATGAGGAAAATTAAGCTTCAGAAAATCCTAGGAAATTTATTAGATAGGTCTCGAAAATTGTACATGAATGGAACGGTCATCTAGAAATTTGAAGCCGCCTTCAAGCAATAGAAAACTGTAGGCAATATTTGCTTCTCCGAATAGATATTTTACAGAAACAGTCGTTGGATGCCCATGTTAATTAAAATAATGTTCCCTATGCTTGAGACGACTTATCCAACAAAGGTTAAAAACGCCCAGCGAATCGTAACAAGCTCTCGTCGACACAGTGTAATTATTCGAAATTATAACAAACTTCTTTTGTTTGTTTGGCGAATACCGGTATATACTGTATCTTCAATAAAATTTAGAGATGAAACAGCCGTGTTAGAAAGAGGTGGGCGAAGGGGGGTAAAATTGGAATTGGGATTTGCCCATTTTTAAGATTGGAACTGAATAGGATTCCGGGGGGAGGGTGCTGCCATATGTGGGCTATATAGGTATGTGCCGCTGTGAAGGATATGGTTTTCAAGCAGTTTACTCTAGGATAGGGTATATAAATCAGAGCGTTTGGGTCTAGAATAGGGTATCATTTTTCAGGAAACTGATCAGTTGGTTGAAGATTTTATCTAGACTAAGGATTGAGGTATAAGGTTTTGTTTCGCTAGACTGTGCTAGTGACCTCAGTAGTTTCTGGAAAACAGCTACACTAGGACAGGGGGGACTTGGGGAGTTTACTCTATAGGGTAGCAAAATTCAGCTGAACTAGCTCTGGTATAGGTTAAGGGTTCCAGGGTCCCAGCGGCACATCCCCACCCAGAAATTCCTTAAGTACCCCCCGATTGGATTTTGGTACATGCACAGTCAAACCACGTTAAAACGGACACTGAAGGGACCATAGAAAGTGTCTGTATTAATGGGTGTCCTTATTAAGCCGGGTAAATTTAGAGAAAATGTAAGGGTTTTGTCTCTCCAGGGACAAAGCAAACTGTCCGTATTAAGCGGGTGTCTGTAAAGCGGGGTTTGATTGTTTATGTCAGTATAATTGCAGACGTCTCCTACTTCCTTTGTCGCTCAAGGAAACATCTGCACGCAGGCTATACTAGGATTTGACCACGCATCTTTGCCACTGGGAATGGGATTTGAGGCAAACGTCGAATGGGACTCTGGAATTTGAACAAACTTTAGGTTGGAAAAAGGGACTTGTGAACAACCACCCCCCTCCCCCACCACCCCCTTCGCCCCTTTCCCCCTCCGGTATGCTTCTTAGTAGAAGACACAGAAATAAATATTATCTTGACTTGTCTTGACCTTCAAATGGTCATCTCAAAACGGCGAATTAACTAGCAACAATAATTATTCTTGCATTAAAAACCCACGCCACTGCTGTTTTTGGCTTTTCCTTAATGCTGGATTGGACGTCCAAAACAGACGCAAGAGAGGATAAATGAGAAGACCCAACTAAGTAATCTTTAACTTTCTCTTCAGCTCCTTGTTGCTGTTTCTCCTGGACAAAATATTGACTACTTTGATTTTGATCTTAAAATCTGGAAGCCACTGGGAATGTCAGGGGAAGGAGGCAGAACTGCAGGAATATCACATTACTGTGCAGAGACTGTTGGTAATACTTTGTATGTTGCCGGAGGTCGCCCAAATTACACTAACACTGATTTTATTTCTTGTTATGACTTAGAAAGAAATGTGTGGAAAACACACCCGTACTCTGTTGGAACAATCAGCAATATGTGTACCGTAGGAGACTACTTGTATACATTTGGTTCTAATTGTCGAAAGCCTCCTCAGCGGTATAGCTTGTCTGAGGGTCAATGGCAGAGTTTTGCAAACGTCAAGGGTACGAGGGGGATGTACTTCCACAATAGTGGAGCCACAGCGCTTCATTCTGATGTTTTTGTTCTTTATGGAAAAAGATTTAATGAAAAAGGTTATTGGTACGTGCGAAATGCCTCGTTACATTGTTTTGATCACGTTAGAAACGCTTGGGAAGAAAAAGCATCAACCTGCCATCCTCATTTTGGGTCCAGTCTTTTTGTAGTGAACGATAAACTTTACGTAGCAGGGGGTAAGGTTGATGCTAATTCCGAAGGTTCACTGTTTGGTGACCCTGCACCAGTGGAAGTGTATGATGAAGAAAACAACAAATGGTCGGTTGTTGACCAAAAACATATTCCAGAAAACAACCTTGGTGCAGTGGAAGTAGATGGGAGGGTTTATTTCATCATCAATAAATTTCCAATTGATAGTGGTATAAGAATCCCACCAGGGGAGTTGTATCCTGTTTCCTTGCACAAGTGGGAAAACCTAGGGAATATTTGCTGGACAGCCGCCCTCTGTTATGCACCAATAAAGAAAGAGAGCTTAAAAACAGGGTAACGATCATTTTGGTTTTAAATATTTCACTTCCTGCCATCCATCGATTCCTGAGGACAAACCAACCGACTCAATTCAACAAATTTACAGCCAGAGTCTCTAACAAAGTCTCCGTGTTTCTTTCAGCTACCCCTTAACGTGTTTTGACGGTTTTCCTAGATAACCGTTTCAAAACAACCAATATGTCTTAATGAGGAATGTAAGGAGCTGCACCCATATATAACTTAATTAATGGACCAAAGAGTATTTGTAGATAAGGAAAACACACTGTTTTTTAGTGTCATAAGATATTGTAAATACTTAAATGATAACGAGGACTCTTGGTTTCTGGATGCGCGACGTTAACAAGCTAATTACATTAGAGACCTTAGCCGTTCGAGGACGAGGACGACTACATGGCGGAGATTTAGCTTACAAAATGTTTTCGCGTATTCTCAAGAACTAAAAAACCTCGGAAAGCTTCATTGCTCACTTTCTTTTCATCAGAAACCTTAGCACGATTACTTTTATTGAAGGAGATTAAGCCCTCTCCCGATCGAACTGAATGATAAAACTTCTAACATTCGAAAATTTGTTTCCCCCACTATGTATGACATTCTCGCTAAACCCACTGTAGAATGACGACGATTGTCAGGTATTCCCGCTCAACTGACTCACCTTCAAGCGTGCGCACAACTTAGAACTCGTGGTCGTGCTTGCCTTACAATCTTAAGGTCTCTATTATCAACTGGATTTAGTACAAGTGCAATTACCTAATAAGTCAATGTTCCAGCACACGATATCATTTGTTTCTATCTTACTTGTATAAGGCCAGTTCTAGAATATGGTGCCCCCCTGTACCATCACGCACTGCCTGACTACTCAAGTAAGGATATTGAACGCATTCAAAAACGTGCTCTATCAAATATTTCGCCAGGCCTTTCTTACGATGACAGCCTGTCAATGTTCAACATGGCATCTTTAGAGGACAGACGCATAGATCAATGTGAAAAACTGTCTGATTCTATTGTATCTAATCCAGGCCATAAGTTGCATCATTTTCTCCCTCCCAAGAACTATTGACATTATAACCTTAGAAGACAACGCCACTTTGCAAATCCAGTCATGCGTACCAAGCGTTTTTCTAGAACATTTTTGCCATCTATGTGCAGGCGTTAGCAGCTTTTTTGTATAAAGTTTAATTCATCTAAAGTATAATTTTTATAAACTAGAATTCTAAAGTATAATTTTGTAGATTTTTTAGTACATTTTCATATTTTAAGTTTTGTATCAATTGTGTTTGTAAATTCATGCAATTCAGCCTTGGTGGGCTGCCATATGATTTGAATTAAAGCTATCTACCTATCTACCTACCTACCTACCTACCTACCTACCCGTGTGTTTCATGCATTTGTCGTGAGGACTTCTAAAGTTACTTGAATAATTTTCTCAATAAAAACTGCCTGGCAATTGTTTTTGTCTTGGAATATGCATTCATTGGTAATCTGGGGTGAATATGAGACTCGAGAAGGAACGGTTGCTAACGGGAACGCTGAACGAGGAGAATTAGAGACGATTGAGACGATAAGAGCGCATGAGAGCTGCGATCAAATGAGAGTATTAATCAAGTGAGAAGAAGGTGGAAATTAGTGCTCTTTTGAACACGCTAAGAACCCAAACAGAGGTTTAAAGAATATCGAATCCGTTCAACAACCAACGAAGTTGTACACAAACTAACTGCAGTAATCCGGCCGTTTTTTAAGACATGCAAAAACGACAAACAAAATTCAGATCTGTTTTTCAATAACAAGCCATACAAAAACGAAATTCAAATCCGTTTTTCAAAGTGATGCGAAAACGAGAAATGAAATTCAAATCCGTTTTCAAAGTAATGCGTAAACGAGAAACGAAATTTATATCCGTTCTTCAAAGTGATGCGAAAAGGAAAAATGAAAGACGAAGTTCAAATCCGTTTTTCGAAGTTAGGCGAAAACGAAAAACAAAAAGCAAAATTTAAATCTGTTTTTCAATGTCATGCGAAAAAGAAAAATGTAAGTGGAACTTGAATTTCATTTTCCCATGTCATCGAAAAACGGTTGGCATAGCCGCCCAGTCAATGAACGGGGAAAATCCCGTTGCGGAGTTGTCGCTTAAAGGAATGCTTGCACTCGCCTCTGCAGTAAAGGTTCTTTGATATACGGGGATTTCCCCCCTTCATTGACTGGGCGGCTATGCCATGCTGATAAGCCCCAGTAAGGGCAAAACAGCTGTCCATGGCTGCCACTGCCCGGGTGATATGGCTGTGCGCACGCGCGAGGTACTGGCCAGGCCGTGGATTGGTTTATGTGTGCCCCTTGCTTTAAGTTTGTCTTAGAGCCATGAGCCTCGAGAGGGAAGCGGGGTGAACTCGCGCCGGCGCAAAAATTGACCTGGTGTCATGTAAACACCCCGGGGACGTGAAAAGCGGCAAATCTCCAAATCAAAGATCCCATAGCAGTCTCTTATTTTTTCTTCGTTCGGGCTTCTGCCCTCGTTTCTTGCGACTGCGCCGTTCGCCCCTCACGCGTGCTCTCTGCGATCTACTGACTCCACTGTGACTTAGACTGCAAAGAGGGGACGGATAGGGGAGGGGAAGAGGGAGATAATTGCGAAAGGGTTGACATGGGAAAAGGGAAGGGAGCCAGAAAGTGGCGAAAGAACAGTCGACCGTGGAAAAAATCACTTGCCTCTTACAACCTAGCTTTTTTTAATCACTCCATTCAAAGTGAAGACGAAATCCACAGGGCATAGATAAAGTTTTATAATGGAGTTGCATTTTCAATAGAGTTCACGCTAGGGTAAGAACTTCTGTAAAGTAGGGATTTTAAAATGAGAAGATTCGCAGCTTAAAAAGTGGCAGCAAGTGACTAAGTTGGGGTCGCGAAAATCACATTTGCCCAAAAATGACTTGGATGGGGTCTATAATTGGCAACCGGATAATGAGATAGGGGTTCTGAAAGGTTAGCGGCAAATATCCAGCCAAAATTGGCACAACTATCCTCTCCCCTCGAGACCGATTATTTCTTAAGACCAGGATTCAAACTGTGTGCACCTTTGTACTAGTCAGTATTACCCAGTGTATTCCAGTAAACTGCAACCGAACGATTTCACCTAAGTTTTCATTGCAATTTATTGACTCTAAAAACTCGTCTTAATTGAAAGCAAAATCTACTAGCACTTAAAACTATGTAATTATTCATTATTATTTGCACTGGAATTCAATTTAGTATCATTATTTCACTAAAAGATTTAGCTGTAAGAAACATAGTGATAAACTTAATACACTTAAAAATTAACCTTTTTTATTCATGTCCTAACTCAGAGCCAGGCAGAAATCTCCTTTAGATAATTGTCATTTGAAAACATAGCGTACCGTCACTGCCTGCCTCGACTCAAGGAAGGCTCTAACGTAAACGTGAGCACGTATATGCTACGTTTGCTTTGCTCACTTAGTCATGTAGCAGCTGCTCGAAAGAGAAGTCACCAATGGTGCCTAACCCTGACCCCAAACAATATTAAAACAATTGAAAGAATGACATGTCATTGTTTCTTTCGACCGGTTAGGAGAGACCTTACGAGCAGCTCCTACACTACTCTCACTAAGCTCAAATCAGGTTTATTACGCATTCAACTAATCGTATCAGCAAGGAAAAAATTGTGTAACGGGTAAATAAGTTTATTAACATAGTTAGGTTTTGCGATCATGAAAAATTGACTGGACTGTTCAGGCCAATATAAAACAGAAAACACGTCTTCTATCAAAAGAACAAATTTGGTGTCAATCACAGACTTCTTCCGATTTCTTTTTATGATCAGCGATCTGCATTCTCTCTTAGCCGGACTAAAGTAGAAGGAAATTTGCTAAAACTTAAAAAAAAAAAACACACCCAAAGAAATGACTAAATTAGTTTACTGTTTCAAGAGGGGATTTCGCTGCAGCCTTCAACGTGTTTAACATCTCTTTGTTTACTGGTAAATAGCACAAGACAGCAGCTTTATGGATGGTTGTCAAATGTTCCCACTCTTGTAAAGAAATTTTGTACACTTCATTTGGTGGAATTCTAATTCCACTGTCAATTGGAAATTTGTTGATGATGAAATAGACCTTTCCTCCTATCAGTTCTACTGCATTAAGGTCGTTTGAAGGAATGTGGTTTTGTTGAACAACGCACCACGAGTTATTTTCCTCATCATAAACTTCGACAGGGGCTGTTTCACCTGAAGTATTCACACCCCCATTACCTTCATAAACCGAAACCTTTCCACCGGCCACATAAAGCTTGTTATTATCTACAAAAAGGCTGGATTCAAAGTGAGGAGACAAGGTTGAAGCCTTCTTTTCCCATTCATTTTTCTGTGGATCAAAACAGTGAACTACGGCCGGTTTTGCACTTATCCTATTCTGAAAGGGATCATATTTCTCACTGTAATATCCATGAAGTACATATATTTTGGAATTAATGCTCACTGCTGTCACAGAAAATAACTTTTCACTATGATCTAGTTTCTTAAAGAAAGGCAATTCGGAAGCACTTTGCCAAACATTCTGACTCAAACTATATCTCAGAGGGGGCTCTGAGCGGTCACCAAATACATATATATATTCATTGAAAGAACACATACATAGTGCTTCACTTACGAAATCGCACTGACAACAAAGAAGTGTCTCCCATACATTTCTAATCGTGTTATAGCAATACATGTCAAAAGAATCACCACCTCCTCCAGCAACGTACAAGTTATTACTGACAACTTCAGCACCGATGCATCCAATTGCATTATTCAATTTTGCCATGGAGGGCAACGGTTTCCATGATTTTGTTTCAGCATCAAGATACTTAGTTTCATTGAGATCGGAAACTTTCTCCTCCTCCTCCTCCTGTTGCCTCCCTTTGTCGTCTAAGCCATCAGGGAAAATTACAACGTGTACCTGAAAGAGGCCAAGCGCAAAACGTATGGATATTTCCAGACACTCAATGAACATTAATTGAAACCCTATTAAGAAAACTGTACATTTGATTTGATTAGGGATATGTGGCACTAACATTATTGTCTGATTATAAAGCCTGACTCAGACCGTAGAGTTGTAACACTGAGGTGAGAGCGTGCGGTTTATCTTTTGGGCACAACAGTTCAGTAGCTTGATCAGTACGCGTAAAAATATATCACATGTACTCAGTTATCACAAAAAAGTCATGAACAACAGCTATTTATCAAATAAAGGTTTTCTGCACTTACCGAGGTTATTGAACGTGGTCTTGTTTTCTCAACAGCAAACTTAGAGCTGGCCGAGGGCATGTTGCTATGCAGGAGTAGTTTTTGACACATAAGCATTTGAATCTCAGGCACTCGCTGCATCTCCTCTGTGTTCAGTTCTGCAACCACATCCTTGGTATCGACCAGCCCCAGTCGAACCTCTCCGATAACTTTAGCCGCGAATGGCATCCTTTCTTCTTTCTTGCATTTGATCCACTGCATCACGGATTTGAAGACAAATGTCTCGGAAGGAACACTGAGGTCATCTCGGCTGAGAAGATTTAAGAACTGATCAGCGTCAATATGGAACAAGAATTCTTTTCTTTCACAGATCTCCTTGTACACCGACGCCATCTTACTTTGTGTAGCTTCTTTTAGGTCTCTCAGACCGTGCAAATTAGCAAATGCAAGAAGATTGAGATACGTCTGAATGTCAATACAACCTTGAATGTATTCTTTGTCCGAGAAATCACAGCACTGTCGAACAATAATTGGCATCTGGAGATGACTGGCAGTTGCCAGAACTTCAAACACGTTTTCCTTGCAAACAAGGACATCTCCACGTTAGATGGAATCCAATAGGATCTTAAAACTCAGTGCTGAAATACTTTCATCTTTGAGCTCGATCACTTCCTGGTTCGATTCCTTCATTCCATTCGTGAACATTGCATGGAAATAATCGCTATTAGCAGCGAGAACATTGCGGTGAGCAGGAAAGATGGACTCATCCACCTTCCGACGAACGTCAATGAAGTCTCCGTTTTCTCTGAACTGGCTTAACTTGGACAAAAGATGCGCCGCCATTTTGTGAAGAGACAAGAATCGAGACATCGCCCTTTCTCGTTTTACGCAGCCTTATATGGGTCATTGACGTGTCATGCAACCATGGTATGAAAAATGACCAATATAGAGGTCGTTTCTGATTGATCACGCAACATTTCAGTCCACCATATAAGGTCATGTTAGAAAGAAGTACTAGTTAAATTATCTCACAGAAATATTTTTTGCGTGACCATTAAGCGAAAAAACATAGGTAGATTTTAAATGAATTAAACACTATAAGCCCCATGTTTGTGAGGAGAAAACTTGCCCCGGATAGAAGGGATCTCTTGCTCCAAAGCGTACGGTCACCGTCGGTTTTAGTTGACCACCACATAAAACAGGGTAGGTGTAGGAATGTCTGTTGCGGGTCGGTCACGCTCCGGTGAAGCCGACAAAGAATTAAATTATACGTAAGAAGCAAAATCTTACGAATATGACCCGTATCCAGTGAAGGGGCTCGATACAGTAGCATACCTTCCATCTTTAATTTGGAACTCCTCCTAAACAATACGCATTACTCGTACATTTTATTCAATGATATTATTATTATCATTTTTAATAATTACTATTATTATTATTATTGATATTGAGGAGCTATTAGTTATTCAGATCCAGGAGGCACTTTGGAGAAAATTAAACAACCTTAAACCCTTATTTTGCCGCAACAACGAGCGCTAAGTTTGCATCAGAGGGCCAATCCTGCGGACCAGAAACAAAACTCACAGTTAATCGATAGGCGTGTCATGACCTTTCCGTGTGAAACAAGCGGCAAACTTAGAACCCTCCAGAACATAATCTATCCGCCAGAAAGAAAAATTTATTGGAACAAGCAGCAGCATTTTAAGCATTTTAGTTTTTTTTTTTACTTCTGTCTGTTTCTTTTTATAACCAGTCTTCTTCTCACGGCTTTCTCAGAGACAATGCGCAGACCTTTCCACGGATTTTTATCAAATTTTGACATGAACAAGTTAGGAAAAACCTCTTTCAACTCCGCTAGAAAGAGCTCTTTTAAATCAGTAAAATTACCAAGTTTGGAAGTGATTTGTTAAAAAATCACAAACTGCTTTTACAGAAATTTGTATGGTGGGGGTTGCCTGACTCTCATAAATTACTGCATTACCCACTTTAATTAGCCTTTGCTATATCAGTGCGGGCGGAACATATATTTTTGGATTTAGTAAAATCCAACTAGTGGTCTATTATCAATGCTGCGTTCTGATTGGTTGAGCTACTACTAGGCTATATGTTATAGCCCACTAGAAGCGAAAAGCGCCGGCTTCGAAAACCAAAAAAATGGCAGCTGAATCGCGTTTTGCTTACTAAAGTTGTTTTGTCTCAATATTTTTGACCAACTAGTTGGATTTTACTAAAACAATTATTCCTCTCGCCCTCATGGCCTCTGAGTCAATAGCCCATTCGGCCCTCTTGACTCAGAGCCCATTCGGACCCGAGGAATAATTGTTAAATAGCAATGAATAGTCGATTAAGTCACTTGAAATCGTTAAATCCTGTTTACGTTGATATTAAAATAGTTTGTTGCAAGTATACAGGATATTGTGCAGAAACTCCAGATAAATTTTCCAATATAATTCTATTTTCTAGTATTCCACGCATAACAAACACATGGCTTTTGACGAGTAGTTTTCATAGAGTCACTTACCTTTAGTTGAAATCCCCCGACTTGACCTATGTGTCGATAATCAACCTTACACTCATTTTCTCGTACTCCTTTACTCTGTATTCCTCCTCCTCACAGATTACGCTTTCCATTTTCCGCCCGGCGGCGTATTCAGTAGTGATCCCACCCAGCTGACCCAACGGTGATAGCCTGTTGCAGTCGTTCAGATAGTGGGGAGCAGTGCGAAGTAAAAAGGAGTGCGAAAAAATAAAAACGAGGGAGGGGTAGAGGTATCGCTCCCTTTACTTCGCACCGCTCCACATTATCTGAACGCCTGGAACAGGCTACAACGGTGATAATCAACTTCACGCTTATATGTACCGTATTTATTCGAATAAGCGCCCAACCTCTAATTAGCGCCCACCTCGAATAAGCGCCCATCCTAAAGGCAGAAAAAGATAATAAGCGCCCAGCCTCGAATAAGCGCCCACCCCCTCCTCCCCCCAATCAAACTCAAATAAGCACTCACCCCCACCCCATCCACTTAAGTGAATAAGTTCCAATAAGAGACTTCCCCAAGGACTGAGTTTTTTTTCAGAGTATTTTACAGCAACCTTGCTTTGTTACTTCTTCGCGTTTTGTTATTAGCATTTATTGTTTTGTTGCAAAATAAACATACTTCACTTGCTGAAAATGGTGAAAATTTAATACGCGCCCAGCCTCGAATAAGCGCCCACCTCGAATAAGCGCCCACTCTCAAGGTACAAAAATTTAATAAGCGCCCAGGGCGGTAAATCGAATAAATACGGTATTCCTTTCTTCCTCACAATACAGCCATTTTTCGTCCATCCGTGAACCATACTGAACCATTTGTACCCTTCCTGTTATAACTATACGATCATAATTCTCAGTCTACCCAATTTGTCACTAATTAAGACCATATTTCTTCACAGTTTCACCACACTGAGTGTCTTTCACCAGTTTTTCATAGAGTTTCTCACTTTTAGTAAATCCTCTGTTTTGGCCATGTGTTGATAATCAACCTTACGTTCGTTTGCTCACATTACTTCACAGCTCCTTCTTTTCACCGATTACTCCTTTCATCTCGGCTCCCAGCGGTGCACTTACTACTGATTCTACCCATATGGTGAAAATCAACTTCACGCTCCTTCTGTACACTTATTAAATCTGTACTGCTTCCTTCCACACATTACAGCCATTTGTCTTCCACCCGTGCACCATACTGAACCATTTGTGAAACCTTCCTGTTCTATCCATACGATGTCAATTCTTCTGCTCACTTCTCACCAATTTACAGCATTTTTCTTCTCAGTTTCACCACACTGCACCCTTCAAATCTTATCCCCTTTCGTTTCCATTTATACATACACAAAGTGCTTAACAAATAGAGTAGTCAGGATGTAAGTCTTATCTGCCTATCTCTAGTGATCTGAACCTCCTTAAAGTCATTTCAAGGGTTTTCTAGATGATGAGCTTGTTGGAATAGAATACTTTGTTGGCTTTTTTTATCATAGTTACCGCACTCGTTGCTTTAGACAGAACCTGCAGATTTACGGTACACTATTTGGAAGGAGTTCACTTCACTCAAAAAGGCAATGAAAGGTAATGTAAGGGGCTTGAGCAGGTTTCAGCGACTTTGTATTTTCATTTAAGAGGATGGGGAATGGGAAGGTAGAAAACATGTAGTACATGACGTAGTGCTCTATAGCTCACGTGATCAGTATCTTGGTTTATGGCATATAGGATCACGCGATCACGCAATGCAACCATTTCCTTCGCTGATTCAGTATGGTGGCCCATTCTGAGATTCTATTGTCAAAGTGTGCTCAGTTTCGAGAACAAAGTGAATTCATTGATGTTTCTTTAAAAGTGGGCGAAGAAGTTTTCTTAGCACATCGCATTGTGCTCGCTGCCAGTAGCGATTATTTCCACGCCATGTTTGCTCGTGGAATGAAAGAGTCGAAACAGGACGTGATCGAGCTCAAAGATGAAGGCATTTTAGCAGCTTCCTTGAAGATCGTGCTGGATTCCATCTACAGCGGAGATCTTCAAGTCAACGATGAAAACGTTTTTGAAGTTCTTGTCGCAGCCGATCATCTCCAAGTTACAAGCGTTGTTCAACAGTGTTGTGGTTACTTGCAGACCCAGTTTGTTGATCAGCTTCGATTTGATGTGCAGACATATTGTCGCCTCTCCACGGTTGCTGATCGACATGGTCTAAAAGACCTTCAAGAAGCCACGCAGACTAAGATGGCCTCCATTTACAAAGAGATCTGTGAAAGTGAAGAATTCTTGTCCCATGTGGATGCTGATCAGTACACTCGCCTTCTTAGTCGAGATGACCTCAGTGCTCCTTCAGAGACATTCGTCTTCAAATCTGTGATGCAGTGGATTACACACAAGAAGGAAGAGAGGATGCCAATCGCAGCCAAAGTTATCGGAGTGGTTCGTCTAGGGTTGGTGGATATCAATGACTTGACGGAAGAACTTGACACAGAAGAGATGCAACGAGTGCCGGAAATTCATATGCTTCTCCATGAATCGCTTTTACATAACATCAGGCCTTCAAGTAGTTCCAAGTTTGCCGTAGAGAAAGCAAAACTACGTTCAACGGATCCCGTAAGTTTGAGTGTGTTTTTTATATGTATATACATATATAAGCGGGCGAGACGTAGATAAAACCGTAGAAGTACCTGGTAATTGTTAACGCGCGCGCGCATATTATAGTCCGTTAGTTTCGAGTGCTCACGTGTTGTGTATCTTTAAAGTAGAATTACTCGGATTTGTAACCATTTTTACAACCCTGATGAAGGCTGTTGAAAGCAGCCGAAATATAGGTTCATCGTGTTATGAATCATCTGGTTTATTCACTTGTGATGAATAGTTTATTTTCATGGAGACTGCCGTCTTTGTTGATGCTTGTGGCTTGATATATATATTATGTATATACATATATTAGTATGGATAGGTTTGGGCCGACAGGGTTGGTACAGGTGCAAGGTTAAGTTTGCATCCCTAGGAAAAAGAGAGCGTTTGCACCCAGGCCAGGCAAAGTGTGCGACGTTTTTGGCTCTTTCTTTTACAAGTGAATTTACTCCTGATCATCGCAACTTTTTCCACTGGAATGACCAATTTGTGTATCAGCCACTTTGAGGTTGCGCGGGAGACCGGGTCTTGATGATTGTTAAAGTGCATTGTGGGACGAATTTGCCGCTATGTTGAAAACGCGTCCCCCAAAACAGTCCCACAATGCACTTTGAAACTATCTCGACCTGGTCTCCCCCGCGACCTCAAAGTGGCTAATTGGTATCGCATATTCGACTAACATAAGGTAGAGATATTAAATTCTGCAAGAAGAATACTGCAATGCTGATCGTACTACGTGAAAATTAACTCTGCAAGACATCAACACGACACCGAAAGAACTCAAAACAGAGCGGGATTGTAGCCATGGACAGCTGTTTCGCCCTCGTTGGGGCTCGTCAGTATGGCGTAACAACCAGAAAGCCCTGGAACAGGCTATATACCAGTTATGCAATGCTTTTTTGTGGTATACCATGGATGCCACTTGTCACTTGATTTTTATCTGCAAATACACGAGCTTTTTTCGAGGCGGAGCATTCCAAATTCTACCTCGAGAAAGATTTTCATAAGTATTTTGTTCCATGCCAAGGAAAATACAGTAGCCACTGAACACAATTAATCGGTCGTAAAAGAGTTGGCTACAACGAATTTCAAACGAGAATACGAGCAGTGCCTTTTTCCTCACAACGAAATGCTTTATAAATGAAATTGACAAACTTGTGGATGCATCCGACCCCATGTTCACTGTTCTTAGACCTCTATCGGATCTCAACGAAAACACTGATCAACTTCGGTCAGTGGTCCTCAAAGTTAAAGCCAAGGTAAAATATTGGCTCTGGTATGTCTCAAACAATATTTAAAAGACACACCGGAAATGGTACTGCTTACTCAGTAAATCTCGGCAGGATTGAACTATGATCGGCAGCGATAACCGTTTGGGTTAATCATTGTACTAGGCTCGATTTCTGCCGTCTCCAGGGTCCGTGCGGGCTCATTTTCTCGAACAGCGGCTGGTAATCGAGCCTATCATTGTACCGGCTAGTCTACAACGGCTTTTCTGGTGATTGGCTGTCTTTTCCATGGAAAAGGAGTACATTTCCCATTCCTGAAGATGATCTTAATAAGCGATAAAAGGATATTGTTAAAAGAGAAATGCATTTACTACCTTAGTTATTAGTACTTTATTTCGCGGGGTTTTATTTTTGCGATTTGGCGAGCAAATATGAAGAGAGGGCATTGAATTTCGCGATTTATAAAGCCATGAAAAAGTCTCAACCTTAAAAAATTTTTGGATGAACTGGAACAAGCAAAATGTGAAATCTTTGCAAACTAATGTTATTTAAAAATTTAAGGCACAAAAGTGAGTGGCAGTTTGTGTTTGTCCATACATATCCTGTATATTCTGTTCCTTTAATTACATGTTAATTGTGATTTAAATTTTTTCAGTTTATATGGGTCTTATATTTCGCGAGTCTTTGATTTCGCGATTTTATAAAATCGCGAAAAACGCGAAATTTAAGGCCCGCTAAATTAAGTACCAAAGAGGTAAATACAGCAAGACAAAAATCATTTGTGTATACTGTTATTTCCTCGTTGACTGACAGAAATTGTCTTTTTTTCTTGGTATTCTAGGTCATTGTTGCTGTTCTCCCTCAGACCCATATGTTGTACTTTGATGTTAAAAAAAAGGTTTGGAAGCAGCTTTCATCTATAGCACCAGCACCTGAAACAAAAAATTGCTACTGTGCAGAGATTGTTGGCCGTGAGTTGTTCGTTTCTGGAGAATTCCCGGATGGGAGATCCTGTGTTTACCGTTATGACATAGAAACAAATAAGTGGCACACTCACGAGGATATTCCTCCATACCCACGAATCACCACCCTATGCGCTGTAAGCGACTACATGTATGCACTACCTTCGGATTGCAGTAAGCTACCGCAAAGGTATAGTTTTGCAAAACACCGGTGGCAAAGTTTCTCTAAAAGTTTCACAAAGAGTCCTCCCCACTACCCTCATTTTAACAGTGCCACGATCCATCACCAAAAGCTGTATGCACTTTATGGGCATAGACTAAACGAGTCCCTTTGGCAGATGCAAAATGCAACGCTTCATTGTTTTGATCCAGTGAGCGATATGTGGCAAGAGAAATCTTCAACCTGCAAACCTCACTTTGGGTCCAGTCTCTTTGTGGTGAATGATAGACTCTGTGTTGCAGGAGGTCATGTCGCTACTACCATGTGGCACTCGCTATGTGATGAGCAAGCAACTGTAGAGGTTTTTGATGAAGAAAACAATAAGTGGTCCGTTGTTGAACAAAACCGTATTCCTCAAAATAATCTTGGTGCAATGGAAATAGAGGGGAAGGTTTATTTCATCATCAATAAATTTCCAATTGACAGTGGCATTAGGATCCCACCAGGGGAGGTGTGTACGGTAAATCTGGGCGACTGGAAAAATTTAGGAAACGTTGACAAAAATGCAGCTCTTTGTTACGTACCTTTAAAGAGGGACAGCGTTAAAATGACTGAGAATACTTAGCAATTACTCTATTGCATGAGGCTCAGTATTATCTGAAGAATTATGTATATCGAGGAGGATGTTATCCACCGAGGGTAACATTTCCTCAATTCTCCAGATCATAATGACCCTTTCGATAGATAAAACTTTGCCGAAAAGCAGCCAGGAAGCGCTGCGCTTTCAACATGTAAACTTAAACAGTAAATGGCTCAGTGTGTGTTGGTTAACAAATGGTAGACGGCTCAACGTATACTGTTGAGTTTTTTACAATAACTGAGCGATTTCTTGCTCGCTGATTGGTCCAGTGCTATAGTCGATACAAACGATGAAAAGACGTGATGGTGGCGCATTTTGTTTTTCTCTTCCTTGCGCGCACGATTTTCCGAGAAACTTCAACGGAAATTGACGTCAAAAACTGTCTATGTTATTGTAAAAAGCAAGTCGACAACTATTTTCCATAGTCTATACTCTTGTCAGTCATAGAAATGACGTCAAAATGTTCAGAACTTTGCAGTAAAACCCGACTTTCCTGCGACTCATGGTTGTGACTTGACTTTTGAACATTTGACGTCATTTCTATGGTCGATTTAACAAATACGGTTTCCATTTTGTCGTGCGTCTGTTCAAAATAGATCACAGATGACTTCAAAATGTGGTAAAAACAAAAATTAAAGTGGCACATGATATCATGATTTCTAGTTTTGCGATCGGAATGAATTTCACTTGACAATGACGTCACAATTGTTTTAGATCGAAGTCACTCAGTACACGATGTGAGATGTCAAATGCAAGAAGTCCTCCATGTCCAAGAAAATACGCTCTAAAAGGAAAGAATTTATTCATTTCTACATCAGTTATGCCGTCATTCCTAACCAAATTTACACCTCCTTGAGAGACTTTCGTCTCAGTAATGCAGAGGATCAAGGAGTGCAACTGAGAAGGAGCAGAGGAAGTGGGCC